TATGAAGTAAAACTTCATAAGTAATCGATGTGAATGATTAAATATTGGATTATTATTGGATTATAATCGTGCAATTTTAATCGATTATTAATCAGAAAAAAATCGATTAAAATCTGATTTTTCCCGTCATTTTTTTTACATGGGAATGATCATCATGTGTCTGTTTAACTGTGACGTATCATTATTATCATCGTTTATAAATTCACGATTTATTGATCAATGTGTCAATTTTCGTACTGATATAATAAATGAAAAAGAATTTATAATGATCTTTGGTAAACTTAGCCAACAATTGATTTACCTCATTCATGACATATCTCGGCTAGACTTAATATTTAAGTCATTTAAATATGCTATCCGGCAATGTAATCAAAATTCTATGTCGGTTTGTTTTTATATTTGGTAGTGAGGACTTTTAACTAACGAATAATTCAATAACTTGATCAATTATTCGTGTTGGCAGTCGAAATTGTTCAAAAGTTGATCTTTATCAATAAACTTATGTGAGAATACTATTGTCAATCATCACTCTAATAGTATACTTAACCATATCTTTCTTTTTATTCTCTACTCAATCGAATATCACATATTGTAGAAATTGATATCATTATCGTGATGAATCTCCTTGTTCGTGATTTGTATTGATATATTCAATACTTTGAATCGAAATAATCTAGTAATTAATGTACACAATCGTATGTTCTCTATTAAGACTAAGAATTATCCAAAGAAGATTTATAAAAAAATTAAGAAAATAGTATCAATCGAGATATGTCTTTAGGACTTGTTGTTCGTAATTGAAATGGTTCGTAATTAATGAAATATTCTTCATTATCGGTATTGATTCTTTGATTTCATCCAATCCATTCAGTTTTCTTGATGATATTAGCTATTTCAAAGATTCAAAGTAAGAAATGCTTTTCTTTAGTTGTGCTATTTTTTTTACACTGTTCAAATAAAACCAAAAAGTTCTCTACTCGATATGTGCAACTAGACTGACCATCAGTTTACGATCGAATTCGTTTATATACTATAATTGTTTCCATTCATGGTATGCAATTGTACCTTTTGGATCTTAGTGGCGGCAATGATCTACAACTTAGTTCTCTTACTAGTCACATACAACAAAAGATTCAATGATCCATAGTATGACATCAACTTGGTCAATACTACTTGAATTAGACAATGTATATTAATTTGAAGAAGTATACGAAACTCTACTTGTTTCAGCATCTGTAAGTATCGATATTTGACATTTTTATGATCAGCTTGGATTTATCAAACGACAACTAAGTCAATGCATGGAAACCTTTTGATTTTATAAAAAGTCAAAAAGAAAATTTGCATCATGATTTATGTTTAGTTAATTCTCATAATCATATCGGTTTAATGACTTCAAAAAATGAAATGAATATTGACCTGTAGAGAAATTCAGAAAGATCAAATATTATCTGTAATAGACGGTAGTTACTTCCTAATAGTGATCATTTATTCATTTTTGAGTCTATTTTATGACAGTCAATTACATTTGTATACTTATATGAGAAAAAAGTTCGATATATTCCAATATAAAAAGATATATCATCATCTACATTAACAGAATATAATTCATAACAATATGCTTCTTATTACAAACTATGAATTTCTTTCGTTTCATCAAATAATCACTAAAATAATCAATTCATTTCATTGGACTTCTATATTTATTCAATCATGAATCAATCATTTAATCAATAAACTATTATGCATAATTTTATCTATAAAAACAACATTCTAAACACAAAACAAATCACAAACTAAAATATCATTGTCTTTTTTTTCATTTTTATTCAAGCTGACTCAGTACGCAATAATATTCTATAGAGTAATTGAGGACATAAACGACGTAAATAAATCACAACAGATGCTAAATGACCAACATAGATTTCATGTTTTCTAGCAGCAATACCACGAAGTATATCATATGCACATACAGTTGGATCTGTTCCTTTCTCAGTTTTTGGATCCATTTTTTTATGTAATTCTCCAGAACCTTCGAATGCATTTAATGAAATATCTGTTTTAACAAAACCTGGACATGCTATTGTTACATCTATATGATCTTTAGCATGTTCCAATCGAAGAGAATCAAAAAATGCATGTAAAGCATGTTTAGAAGCTGCATATGACGAACGTAATGCTGTAGCAGCATAACCAGCTGCTGATGTAACAACAACAAAATGACCTGTTTGACGTTGAATAAAATGCTAAAAAGAAATTAATATTTTACAAATAAAATCAAAACATGGTTTTTTTGTCCTATGTACCGATAGAACAGCTTTACTTAATGTAATTGTACCCAAAAAATTAATACTTATTAACCGTGAATCAACTTTATACTTTGTTTCTTTGATTAAACTTCGTTGTGATACCCCAGCATTATTAATTAAAACATCAATATGACTAAATCGATCAAGAACGATTTCAACTTTTGATTCAAAACCATATTCATGTGTTTCAAGATCAAGTGGTAAAACAAGACAACGATCTGCATCAAGTTGAAGTTCAGTAGCAAGTGAACGTAATTCCTCTTCACGTCTTGCTGATAAAACAAGACGCGTAGATGGTGAAAGACGAACTAATTCTTTTGCTAATTCACGACCAATACCTGATGATGCACCTATATCATAGGAAAAGATAATAAATTTACAAAAAGAAAACAATATTTTTTACAGCCGAAATCTGAATACAAATATCGAGTAGGGCTTTTAAATTTGTAAGCAATTGAAAATTTTTGCTTTTTGTTTTATTTTCAGGAGATTCCTCCTTCCCTTTCCGGAGTTTCTCGAGAACGGCTCGATTTCACAAGTACATCAAAAGTTATCATAGACTCAACATTTCTTGATGCTTTCTCCAGGGAGATAAGGGGGCCACAAAGATCAAAAATGACTTGAAGCTTCCCATACTAGAAGCACTGTGAAAAAAACATGTGTTTTTCAACGCTACTAAGTTTTTGAAGGCTGTCGAATTTCGCAGGAACAATATTTTGAAGAACAAAAAAAAAACATGCACCCAAATCGATCAAAGTACTCACAAAAAAATTTGAGTTCAATTGGAGGTAGTGTGTGGGAGAAAAGAAAAGAAAACTTCGTTTTTTTTGTTCGAAAATTGATTTAAAGAAAAACACAAAATAAACCTTCGTGTATGTATCAGAACTTTTTTCTTCCAACGAAAGTGATCGAAAACTGACCGTGTTTAACGATGCTGAACGTTCATGACCATACTCTCAGCAGCTTCGAAACGAAAAACACTCATTGTCATTAGGAGAATTTTGTAGACAACTAATGATTATAGCGTGTGGTTATCTGTTGGGAAGTTTGATAGTTCAATTTACTAAAAGTACTAACAAACAATGGAGAGCCTTCATTTATGTCATATTTGATAGAGAACACTTCGAAGCTAAATTAGTGATGAAAAACAAAAAAATAGAAAAAAATCTTGATTTTAACATCTGGAAAGAGGAAGGAGCCCTCTTAAAGAAGATTAGACATTTGAAAGAGAAAATTTTTATCTTTTTTGAATTAGATTTCTCAATGATGAAAAAAAAATATATCGAATTTCAGGTTTACGCGTCTTATTTATATATGATTACTTACCAGTGATCCATACAACTTTATTTTTAAAATAATTCTCAATATTATCATGTAAAGGATATATAAAATAAGCAATAATTGCGACAATGCCAATATACAGAATAATTTGAAAGAGAATATTTAGAAGTTCAATCATAGTGCTACAAAGAAAAGAATGACATTAATTAATTATTTTTTTAATTTTTCAAATCGATATAAATATAACAAAAATTAAAAGAACTTTTTATTTATTTTCAAAGATACAAAAAAACAAGTTTTTTGTGAAAATTGTTGATTTTCTTCTTTTATAAAATAATTTCCTATTATCTTATTTAAATTCGTTTTGTTTTCACAAATTTATTTGCTGAAATATTAATATATGAACTCAAAAATATACATACAAAAAGTTTCAACTTTAAGCCTATAGAATTAGTATGTAAAACAACGTAAAAGAATCAATAAACCCTCGCAGGAATAAAGATAAATGAAATAAAAAAAAACAATTCTTTATCGTATCTATTGAAGATTGTGAAGACAGATAAACATGAGTTTGACATTTTGATACTATATTTTAATGCTCAAAATTGTCTTTTAAAATTTATGAATTTCACTATATTAGGTCTATACAGAACTATTTCGGTTTGATATTAATGAAGAAATCGAATCTGTAATTTAAAAAAATCTAACATGCTTCAAGAAGACGAAAAGATCGATTTTTCAAAACTGAATGGACGCTTGTAGCTCAAGTACTACAAGTGTCCAAGATTGTTCGTACATTGAATTGTAACTTCGTTAGTTGAATAATGAAAGGAGAAATAAGGTCAAAATTCTTATATTTTATAGTTTACCTCATAATTCATTTTTAGTGGAGGGAAAAAACTACAAAAATAAGCGTGTTCGATTTGTTACATGCGACAGCCAGTAATTATCTAATTAAAAAATGTAATTCATCATTTATATAGACGTGGCAATTCGATAACATCTTCTAGCTTTATCTACACGGAGGTAAGAGCGTCAAGCTTGTTATCTATTGTAATTAATACTAATTATCCAATACTTTTTTAAAATTTTATTTTAGCTAATATAAGCGCCCTCTGTCATATTGATTTAGTGCAAATAGAAAGAAACTTGCCAACCCCTTCTTCTTCAATACTTTTTGTTCTTTTAGTTTCGTGTCACTATAACTATTGTAAATTCAATATTTTGAAGTGTGTAAAAGTGATCATGAATATTGATGTAATTTTGACAACCAATTTTGCATTTTTTTTTCATAGACGAATGTATGACATTTTGTGAACTCGTTCAACTAAGTTTGAAGAAAATGCACTAATTTGACATTCGATTCATACATGATGTAATTAAATTATGTATTTGGTGCACATTGTATAAGAGTCTTAATTTTATCTTTCATACTAAGAAATAACTTCATCACCGAATCCCTAACTATTTTGTAACAATCTGAGAAGGAAACGTTTTTTTGACTGATCAATTGCTTTCTCATAAAAAACTACTCGATTGTGAGTAATTGATCAAGTTAATACCGAATATAAGCATTAACATCTTTCAGCGTTATTCATTTCATGATTCTCTAAAATAATACAATTTTCACTAAAAAGAAACATTTTTTATATATGTGTACAGGTTATGAAGAATATTTAATTGCCTCTAAAGCGTTAGCTTTTCTTTTTATTAAATCGTTATTTTTGGATAGAATAAAGTCATTAGTTTGCACAACCAATTTTAACTAAGAAAAATTCTCATGTTCATATTTGATAGCCTACAATCCATTAATTTTTAGTGAGAAAGCGACCGATTAGTTGAAAACGTTCTCTCGTGAGTATAGTTTCTGACAACAGATTTTACGGTTGTTTTGTTTTCAAAACAAATGTTCGCATTTAATCGAACATATTGCAAACTGAATTGGTTGATGAATATGTTAAAATGTTGATAAAAAATTTTCTTCAGTAAATGACCGATCGAATTCATGAATACTGTATTATAAAATAGTCTAAGACATATTTCAATAGTTTCGTTCGGCATAAATTAGTGGCATTTGTATTTACGAGCATGAAAGCGGAATTACAGTTCGGTTTTTTCAGAAGTATCATGAACGTCATCTTTACTAGACTAATTATAATAATAGATTTGTCAGAAAAGTTATTTGAAGCACCATTAACTTGACTTTTACTCATTCAAAAAAAGCCATCAGTGAATAATTTGTAAAAATGATGTATTAGCAGATAGTAACTTTGCTCATTAGCAAATTCCATAATATACGGAACGAGCGAAAATTCTTTATGAGCGATTAAATATGCAAAAGCTATTCTTGAATGAATGAATTTCTAGCAGAAATCAATGATTAGTTTATCTACAAAAATGTAAATTTTAATTGTAATAAAAGTTCCAATAAATTTTTTCATGTTATTTTAGAATCTATCGAATTATCTTTAGAATAAAGTAGATACATCAATAAGTCAGCTATTGTCTGTTTACTTTCTATAAATTTGACAATAATTGGTGTTACTTTTATCAGCATGCAATATTCAAAGAAGAATCCTTTACTTCTTCTGTCGTTTCAAATGACAGTAAATTAGTAACTATGTATAAAAATCTATTCCTCTTGTCAATTGTTATTATGACAAAATATACGACATTTTTTAAAATGTGAAATTCCTTTTTCTCTTTGTAGACAAAGGACAGAAAAGATACAAAAAAAAAGAGCAAACGTTGAAAAGTTATTGTTTGATTGAAAATGCACTGTCTGTAATCGATGAACTAGAAACTTTTGGATTAATCGAAAGACGAGGAACAAGCTGTTGATTACTTTTTACTGATGATCTTGTGATGGTAACATCAGTTAAATTAACTTCATTAGAATGACATCTATTATAAGATGGTGGAGGTGGTGATAATAATCCATCTCTCGTAGTACATATGCATCGATTAACATCATCTATATGGTCACAAGATAGGAACCGTTGAACCTGACTACGAGAACGTTGTGAATATGGATGAATTGTTGATCTATCTGATTGTATTACCGATGAAATACTTTCGGTTTGATCATAATTATTTGGATTTTGTTTAAAGCATAGACAACGAGTCCATTTACATGCAACTATAAGAAAAATAACAAATACAACAGATAGAATACCGATACAAAGACCAATAGAATCATGTGTAATTGGTATTGGAGGTAACTCAAACGATTCTGAAAGATCAAATTCAGACACTAAGAGGAGAAAAATAATCAAGAATTATTCATATGACCTTACTTAGTTTACTATGCTTTTTCTTAGGATTTTATGAAGACAAGCATCGACAAACTCGTAATATCTTGAATAAATGGAAAAAAATAAGAACACAAACTTTGACTACTAGTATGACTTTTTTTTTTCCTTTCTCTTTTCATCGCTATTATTATGTTGTAACGAACATACAATAGGCGTGGCGCATCAGTTAGTTTTTTTTTTTTTTTTTTTTTTGTGCGAGTCATTTATATTGAAAGAAGGAAGTGACAACCAAAAAAACAGGAAAATTGATCATTTAAATTGTCATTATGTTAGTATCATGCTTAATGTTATTGCTCGCCGAAAAATATCGTAAACAGAATATTATTAAAAAGAAACAAAAACCTCATTTCTATCAAATACATTCCATTACATTAAGAACGTTTTTTTTTAAAGATTGATCACAATCGATTAAATGGGAGAGATATTGACTGATGAATCAATGCTGACATACATTTAATATAATGATGAATTTTCTAATGTGAAACTGATCCCATATTGAATTCTACTACATATGAAGATTAAGTTGTTACAAAGAGATATGTTTTCGAATTTTTGAGTTTCACTCATAATAAAATCTACAGTTAAGAATGTAGTGTTGAATTATTTAAATATGATAATGATCAGCAGTACAAATAAGAATAACGATTTGAATAAAAAAAATTATAAGAAAAAATCTATTAGTTACAAAATTTTCAAAGTAAAAACAGTATGCCAACAGATTAAATTCAGCATATTATTTTATTCTTCTATGAATTATGACGTTTTAGAGCTTTCAATCTGATAGTTCGGACGTCAGACAATGTAATTTAATCTATATAAATATAATTAGCGTTGTTAGCACACTCACTATATGAGATTTTGTAATGCAATTACTACAAGATCAGTCTATTTTATATTAGAAAGCATAGTAGCATGTTGTCAAACTATATTTTCTTGTTTCTGATCTTTATATAAATTGTTAACTAAGGGTTTCTATTAGAATTGTTTTTCTGTGCATCAATAGCTATGTAGTACTAATTTTTAATTAGCAGAAAAGAAAATTATTAGACATTGAAATTATTACCAATCTTGTCAAATATGTTTGAAAAGCAAATGAAAATTTGTTCAACAAATTCTATTTTAAGATTTATTCCTTTTCTATCGGCAACATAGCTTAGCTTAACTTCATTAATGATTTTTTATGATATGATCATCGTCATTATCAATCGTCTATTTCGCTTAGAATTGACTCTCATTCTCAATCTATCAAAACAATAATTAAATATACGGATGAATCAAACATAAGGCAGTAGTTAATTATATTCAATTTAATGAAAAACATGTTTCATTTTCATTTCGACAAAGAAACTGTAAAGAATCTTTTTTATTTGAAAGTTACAATTTTCAAAATTAAAGCTTTTCTTGAAGCTTCACACCGTCAAAAAAGTCGATTTTCATCAAAATTTTCAAAACTAAGATAAATGCATGAGAGGAGAGCTCTGGGCTTGTTCTTTCATAAATGACATGATTTTTTTATTTGGCATTCTCTTTTTTATCAAAATATTTTATGATTTGTCTAATCACCTACTTGAAGACTATACTATTTTTAGAAACAGGAGAAAATCATTCCAGTTTTTTCTCTGACTATGTTTTTTTGATCGTGCTTTCTAGAATGCTCGAAGGAGCTTCATCGTAGTCGATTGCTTTGTTTTTTTTGGAAGAACATTTTAAGATGCAAGACATAACAGAATCCCTTTCTTAAATTAAGCTTCATTCCTATTATATAAAAGCGTAATCTTGCAATCACAAGGGTATTTGTTTTTCAGATATTGAACTGTTCTCCTCTTAAAAAGTAAGAATTTATAAAAGGGTTCTGTCATGTTCTTTCGAACCAAAAGAATTAAGGATACAGAATGACAATTCACAGAGAATTTTGGGTCGCCAAATCAACTATTTCTCATCCTTATTTGTTGAATAGTTCCCGAAAAAAATCATATTATAGGATTGAAAATTTTACCATAACCTCTTCACTATAGCTCAAAAATATACTGAAAATTTCATGCAATTTGAATGTACCTGGTCCAAGATAGATTTCTCAGGGGTAATTGGCCTTGATATGTATGTTCCTTCTTATAATCGAAAACTGATTACTGATATAAACATATAATGATCATTTATCTCAACATAACTCGATGCTAATAAGACATAAAACAAATTAGGTCGTATATGATAGTATTGAAATTTATAGCATTGATATCTGAAGCTTATAATTCCCGTGTAAAAAACAATATAGCAAAATTCGCATATTTTAAAACAAATATCTCTTACACAATGTTTACAAGACAATAAATCGTAACAGACAATGTGTAAAATTTCATGTAATTTTTCGTTTGTTTTTCTATTCTCTATCAGGTAAATAACTCTCCATCTGTCTTCTGAACAACCTTTTGTTTTCATTGAATATTGCAGACAAAGAATTTTGTTTAAAAAAAATAGTGTAATTAATTAGTCAATTATCTTCACAACATACATGTCATAGTACTTATTAAATGAATACACTTGACTAGACGATTAAATGATTGACAGGTTTATTAATATTAATCATATTCGTCTATAAAAAAAGCAATTTATTTTTATCATTAGACATACAACAATTCGAAAAATTATTCGTCAATCTAAGCTATATTGTTTTGTTGTTTTCCTGCAATTGCAAAACGGAACAAATGACAGATCTGGAAAGAATTTAATCAAATGAGATTGTTAATAATCTAAGCATGTAAATTTAGATTGTTCATTTGCTTTGATAAAATAAGAAAACAGAATAAGACGAATTATTTTTCGACTCAGTATGTATCTTTATATCAAAAGAAAAAAAAAAGATCTTTTCATAGCAAGTAATCCATCATACAGTAATAAATGGATCGATTTCGATAAACTTAATATGAAATGAATAAGATCATTGATTTTGTAAATAGGAAAAAATGTTAAGAAAGAAAAAAAATAGCTTGTCTGGTTAATTCGTCTAAGGGAAGAATGATTGCATTGTCATTTCAAAGCATTTGATTCTTTTCATAAGTTTTGAACGGTTCATCAGTTAAACATGAGCGACATTTTATTTTGTTTCTTAAGCTATGTTCTAGAAAATCATTTTTTTCAATTAGTTCATTCCTTTTTGTGTCTAAACAAAGTCCTGAAGTATACTTCGAGTCATTATAAGTTTTTAAAATCTGTCATGCTTTATTTTGACAGACCAAGGAGTGAGCCAGGTACCCAAGAAAAATATATTTTGTGGAGAATACTTTAAGGAACAAAATCAGATGTCGTTCACGTTTTCTTAGTCAACCGTTTTAAAATCATGAGAAGAATGAAGTGCATTAAAATGATATCGCATTCACTCTTCCGGTAGTTGAGTTAGTTGAACAAGCTGAAAGCACACTAATATTCGATTGAATTAACAAAGAAGCTACTTCTACTGGAAGATGCGTCTATTCAATCATTATAATGATCTTTTTTTCATTATTTGAAATGACAGGAAGCAGATTAACCTAGATATATAAATCCAAACTTAGTATATTCAAAAACAAAAAGAGTTATATTTTACTTATGTATCCGTAAAAGTCCTTTGACGTTTGCAATCATATTCGAACTTTATGAACCATTCACATATTCAAATTCTATTAAAGTTGTTCTCTAACATATATTATCTAAAATTCAATATTTATAAGGTACTAATTTCATTTACTAACAGGACAATACGATGCCATGCATTATCAATAGCATTAGCAAATTATGACCGAAATTTTCATACGTTTTGTTACTTCCAATATTTGTCAAAAAAACTAATCATGAAGAACATTATATTGTTAATTGATGTGCGTTGGTTGCCACAGGCATCAATATGTAGCAAAATGTAGTGAGAAGCGATGATTTTTCATTCTTTAGAGCTTGTCTATGTTAAAGATAAATGTCATATACACATTTTTTATATGTAAATGAAATATATTAGAAAATTATGAAGATCAATTTCAAAAATTAGTTATTCATTATGTAGCTTTTCTTCTTTTTTTTTTACATTGGAGGATTTTGGTATGTTTACAAATTTATTCAATTATTTCAAATCTTTTTTTTTTTTTTTTTTATAAATAGTTAGTCGAAAAAGGAAATTTCTATAAACAAATCAATCAAATTATCAACACAAAATCTGTCTTTCAATTCAATAGAATCTTTTTTAATCTAACTTTTAACAGATGTAAATAATTTACGTAGAAATGATATATTGAAATTATACTTGACCGTAAGCCTACTGTAAATATGATAACAGTAACTACAATAAATTCCTTCTTTTATAGCTATTCAAAGGCAAAATTGAAAGAAAACATATTTCATAGGAAAACAACAGCAATCAAATAGAAATCGACTAGATCAAAACGTGCGTGTTACTCAGTCTGATTCATTACAAGAACGAATTGCATAATAAACAAGAAACGTGCGTCTCATTTTTACATGAATAATAATAATAAAATCTGTACGAAATAGACATGAAACGACGAAAGAGAAAATTGAAACACAGAAAAAAAGAAAAAGATTTGTAATCATGTCAAAATAGATTGTTTAATTATTTGTTGTTACTTCTTCATATTTAATGTTTGATCAATCACTAGTTGAATCGCTATTATTGCCAGATGATGAAGGTCCATATACCGGAGAATTCTCACTACCACTTATACCCGGTGCACTATCTTCTGGTTTTACAGCTGAATTAGGAGCTTCAAAATGGGCATATTGCTTAGCTGAATTTTTTTGTTTAACTTTATCTTGTTTTCTCCAAAGAACGATTTCCTAAAAGAAAAAAGCTAAATAATGAAAAAAAATTTTTAATATTAAAAAAAAACGAAATACTTGTTGTTTAAAATAACGTCGTTCTTCTTCATCAACTAGAACTAAATTAAGAAAATATCGAACAGAAAATTTTCTTTGAATATCTTTCATTGTTGGTGTTAAATCATAACCACCCAAGAAAAGACGAATTGGAATACTTTCACCTCGAACAGGTGCACCATCCATAATTTCATATTTTGCTACTGTTTCAGTTTCAGCATAAATATTTGGTCCACTTCCAGTACTTTCTTTTTTTAAAATAGCTATTTCCATATGTTTTATTTTAATGCGCACAAGTAAAAAATAAATTTTTCCAACGATAACATCTTTTAAATGATACCTAAATTAAAAACAAAAGCCACAAAACGTCTTTAAAAATACAATCAAATGAAATTTTACTTTGATTTATTATATTCAAATTCAATATGTAAACAATCTTCAATACCAACTTCCATTTTAATACTATTATTTATTTCGGGATATTGTGATAATTGTTGAACACATATGTCACGTTCGGATACTGAATTTGTAAAACGTCTTATGATTGTCAAACGAAGAAAATATCTAAAGAAATAAATTTTCAATTCATTTTTTGCTGAAAATATTTTTTTTGTTTTCATTTTAAGAATACCTCAATTTAACATTAATACCAATGTAAGATTCATAGGGTTTTTCAACGTTTGGAAAATGAAAATCTTGAAAAATATATTTAAAACTAAATAGAAGAAAAAAAAGCCAAACAATTAGTTATTACCTATGCTTGTATTTTCGGTTAATTCACCTGGAAAAGCGAGTAACTTTGATAAATTAATAAATTCATGAACTGTACTTCGATCATTTAGCATTTCTAGAAGAATATTGAATTACAGAATATTCGTAAATATTGAAGATATGCACTGCCCACACGAATAATTCTTGCTCTAATAGAAACTATGGTTTTCGATCTTGCTGCTGAAGAAAATTTTGGAAAGCGGCCATGATTTTATTATACCAGCTGTTAAGCTCTATTACTAGGAACTTTTTTTTTGTTGACAGACGTGTTCATTATGGGATACCGTTTGTGTGATTATCTGATACTCATTTGTCAAATGTATAACATAAATTAGAAGTAATGTTGAGTAAAAATTATCCTGATTGCAAATTGGTCCAATTCAAAGTTTAGTAAATTTCACTGTAACCAGCATAATATTCACATTAGCCTTAAACCTAAATTTTTGCAGATTTAATTACAAAATAGGTTAAGACTGAAACGAGTTCTCTTTACGTATATATCTATGTCTGGTTATATGTTGCATAAGTGAACATCTTCTGGTGGTATTTTTAACTTTATATTAGAGTTCATATGCGAGCTATTTCATAAGAAATATTATACTACCATAAATATAAGAAAAAGAAGTCTCCAGATACCGTTTGGCACTGTCGCCAGACAATCACGCTACTGCCCAAAAAGACTTTTAAGCGGTAATCGCCTCTGCCGCTAGTTGGAAGTTGTCGATGTTCTACACACTATTCCCTTCTCATGTTTTAGGTGAAGTGCACACCTTTTTGTCCCAAACCAATTTATTCTGTTTATAAACTACAAATTGAACTCTATCGAAGTGGAGTTAACATACTTTTTATATAGAACAAAATCATAGTATCGATTAAAATTAATGTTCTCACTGAAATGTTGTTCTCGAATTAGAATGTGAATCTCTGAAAACGACTTCTACTCGAACAACAGATCATACGAATTTTATTCGAAAACTTTAATACTAACCGATTTGTCCAATAAATTCCAATCGGATACCTTGATGTTCTACTTTGCTATTTTTCTTTAATTTAATTTGTAGCTAGATATTTAACAAATAGGAGATAGGATTAGAATTATTTATATTTCTTCTTACCGTTCCTCCAACATCTTCACCATCATAATAAATATATTGCAACACACGTTTATTATTATTATCATCAAGTTTAACTTCAATTTGTTTTCGTTGACCTTGTGGATCAAGTAAAAAGTCAATATCAACTTTTGATCCTAAACCTAATAGATCCATTATTTAATAATCTAGAAATAAGAGAAAAAGAAAATGTCTCAATTTTTTCTGGTACTTTTTTTTTTACACTACTAGAAAATGACAAACAGAAAAAGAAAAAGGGACAAGGAGATTTCAGAAGTTTATTGATATGGTATTGCCTTAGCTGAATCATAGGCAACATCTTCTTTATTTCGAACTTGAGCTATATATTCTTCATATGTAATTGATGGGCCATGTTTACTTTCATCATAATATTTTTTTTGTATAAATTTTCGACCACTATAACCACAACTGTGTACCATAGGTTTGTCCTAATATTTATTTAGGAAACAAAAATTATAGAAAAGATTTTTTTGTTTATATTTTACCAAATTAATGTACACTTTAGGATGACCTAAAGGACCACCACTGTCCGACCAAACAGCACGAGCTTTACATACAACAACAGGATCATCACGGATAAAATCAATTGCAAATCGAGGATTTACCTTAAGAAAAAGAATTATTGATTCAAATAAAAAACTTTGTTTTTTTATCTCAAAACAGACCAATTTTCCACTATTAAGAAATCGAGCATTTCGGTAATCATCATGATCATAGACTTGACCAGTATGTGTTGGAGTATCTGCTGGAAACAAATCTCGATTGACAGGAAGTGTCACACGTTTTTGATCAACATCTTCTGCTCGTTGATAAACTTTAACATATTTTTCATTAGATAATTTTGTTTGTGGAGCAAGAGATTTTTTATCCGAATCTGTCGAAGTAATTTTTTGAACTTGCGTTTTAAAAACTGACAGATAACGGCGTGAACCGTATCGAAAAAGTGATAGAGACATCTAAAACAGTCTTAATAAATTATCTTTCGTTTTGCTTTTTTTGTTTGTGTTTATAATGATGACGATGATATGATGTTATTTCATTCGTTTATTTATTAACCAATCAAATTTAACTTGATAAAAAAAAAATAATAAGTGTTATTTAATATTAATTTAGGCAGACATCTAGTTAAATCTTTTTATATTTGAACAATCTTTCAAGTAAAATTATGCATTAATACTTTACAATTTTCTAGTGAATATTTTTAGATTATCTCCCATATGTTTTTTGGCAAATAAATGACGCAAAAAAGATTGTCAATTAGTATACGTTATGAACAACAATAAGTATCGTTATTTAATTGTCAAATGAATCAGTGACAATGTTTAATTAATCCATAAATGTAAACACGTTTGTGGTCTAATAGACATCGCAAAACGTCCATAAATTCTATTAGTGAACATGGATATTCTGTTTTATATCGACTTATTAAGTCATCAACATACAAATGACAACGCTTATGTAAATGCAGTGAAGAAATTAGAGAAGGAGGCGATGCTGCGAGCAATCTCCCTCATTCCAAAAAGAATTATCTCGATTTTTCCTAGCGGAAAAGACTTAAAATAAGCTTATATTACATCTAATGAGCTTCAAAACACGTTTTATGATTATGACTGCCTCCGATCATTAAGTTCCTAGATTTGCCATTGTCTGAATGGCATTCATAATTACTAATTATTAAAATGATGATTTGATACAATGGTTCTTCTTCTTTGAAGGTCTCAACCAAGTCAAATACTATCTACTGACACGCAATAATAGACAATCAACTATTTTAGTTAGAAATGTTCACAATCTATGGCTCATGTATATCATTTTATTGTATACAAACTAGATTATTTTCATTACCTTGAGTGTAACATTAAATAAACATTTAACATCAAAAACCTTTCAAAAGTTTGTTGGAATAATAACCATAATTATTTCTTAAAACATTTAAGCGATTTCATTACTTTTTAAAAATAATATGATAGTATGTTCTTTGAAGAATTATTTCAAAGAACTAAGTTGAGCTAGAAATGTTCATTAAGATTCTCATGAAGTAAAGCACAGACATTCATCATTTTTTAAATGTCAAAAAAACTCGGTACAATTTTTTTCACCTACTTTAATTATTATTTGTTTTCGTTTTTAATTGAATTTAGTCTTTCTATATCATATTGATATGACTTTAAAATGTCAGTTCATTGATAAGACCATTGACATACAAAACTACTTCGTTCAAAACAGAACGAAATCGAATTCTTTTTTTTTTTATTATTTTTCTCTAAGATTGATGTGGAAGTTTTACAAATTTTAGTTCGATCTTGAAAATCATTTTCATGATATTTTTAATGCAATAGCTATCAGTATGGTTTCAATGACCATATTGAGTCATAATTTCATACGCAATAGTTCATGAAAATCAATAAGCTATTTCAACACAATGAATACTTAATTGTCATTCATTTTGCTAAACATTACAATCTTCATGGGTATTATCTTCTATAAGTTTTGAAAATTTTCTTCAGAATGTTATTGATTAGTAACGAAACTGCTTTCATGAAAATATTGTAAATATTTTTGTAACAGTCGATATTTGGTTCGTTTCTTTGCCAGAATTCAACTAGCAATTATTGTTTCATCATTGGAGATGATCTTTATTTTAGTTACTATTAAAGTTGATCTTATTTTAATGTTTACAAATATGCGTATTTATTGGAAAATACATTGAATAAGATTTTAAAGAACAGATGAACAAACGAAAAGGATTTAAATAAGTAAAATTTCTACGAAAGATATTTACATTTACTTTTCTGACCTTCTATATTGTCATTATAATTCTATTTGTGATGAAATCTATTTGTAAATCACAAATTGAAAAATTTGATTTATATCCTTGCATAAATTTATTTTACGACATACTTATCGATGGTGGCAACTTTATAATTTTTATCTTTCTGTTTTTTTTTCCAATATCACTTTTATATATTTCACTCATATTTATTACCAACCATCTGAAAAGTTCATGTTTTGTTCTTAATAGAACAAACTCAAGATACAATGACATCACTTGAGAATAAGTAATTGAAAGATATTTATAAGAGCGAAATAAGAACTAATGAAAATTTAGAAAATAACCATTCATACTTACAATAGAACTTAGAAACACAAGAAACCATCATTTCATCTTCTGAATTGTGATAAAGAATTTATTATGATTATTAAATTTTTTTATGTCATAAAAAAACAATTTAAAAAGATAATGATAAAACAAAAATATATTATTTCTCTAGTATGAACTACTCTATACTTATATTCAATTCTGCATTTTAATACTAAAATTGAATTTCAATAAAAATAAGGTAATATTATCAAAATAGTACCGATTTTTGATACTTAAGTTAAACAAACATGTTTATCTACTGTCTTGGTATATGAAAAACTATATAGATGAGAAAAAAAAAATTATTATATACAGAATAGTCTATGAACATTTACAAAGAACCGATATGATTGTTCGGTTTGAAGACGGAAAAAGACTATTGATGTTAAAGAAATTGATCGATCTCAATGATATAATACTGATGAAACATGCATAGTTTTCATAAAGAAATGATCTAACTATTGAATAGACGGCTAGTCGATGCTATAAGGAATACTCAGATGAATAAATATATTAGATCGACGAGAGTTAGAAGCTTGACATCTTATTTTTCGAGAGAGAAAAGGGAAAATTGATCTGTATGATCATGATAAAGAAAAGAAAAAAAAGAGATGCAGAAAACCCACATGAAACTATTATTGCTCGTGTTCATCGATAAAGTCAATTGATTATATTTACTTCAACAATAGATCAACTTCCGATTATTGACAAAACAAAAAGAGGAATGCTTTGTCTGTTAAATGTTGTTTTTTTTTGTCATGAGATAATCACGGATATAATTTCAAAATTTGACAAGAATTTGATCGTGTGTGAAGAAATCTTATCTTAATTTTTCTTTTGTAGAAAAGAAAAAAAAGGAAATCGACTGTTGCTTTCAGTATAAGATACAGAATGGGTGCTCGCAGCCATTATACAAAAATAGATACACAAAAACAATAGACAAAAAGGGAAGAAGGAAAAAATTAAAAAAAAGAAAGAAGAAGAATTTTTCTCTTGTTTTACATGATTAAACATTTTCGACTTGAAACTCGATCTGTTAGTGGATCAGACCTAGAAGTCTTATTTGATTCACTTGGATTTTCATTTGAATGTATTTGTTCAATCGTAGATCGTGAACCTTTTTTTGCACTTATTGTTGATGAACTTGTTGTTGACATAACTGATGTTCGATTAGATTTGTTTCCAGGTAGAATAGGTGTGGTAGGTCGTGTTAAAGCAGTACCAGCTGTTATTGTTTCAGTCATATTTGAACTACTACCACTATTTGCTATTGTTGATAAACTTGAATTTGTTGGTGTTGATCGTTTACCACCATGTGGAGATTGAGATGATGTTGTTGTTGTACTATTATTATCTTCGATTAGATGTCCATCTTGATCAACATTAAAATTAAATTGTCTTTTCTTATCTAATTTCAGAAGTTCTTGAAATGCTTCACGTATATTTGTATTTGTTTTCGCTGATGTTTCAATCCATGCACATGACCAAAGTGTTGCAAATTGTTTACCAACATTTTCCGTTACTTCACGACATGCTGCTTCATCTAATTTACAACCCATTAATAAAATAGGTGTTTCATTTTGTTGATCAGCTTTTATTTCACGTATTTGATTATATATTGGTTTTAAGTCTTCAAATGTTTGTTTACTTGTTATAGAATAAACTAATATAAAGGCATGTCCCTTTTGTATACTTAATCTTTGCATTGCTGGAAATTGATGTGTACCGGTACTAGAAAAAGAAGATTTAAAAGAATAAAAGAAAAAAATTCAAAATTTAATTAATAGGTTTTTGTTCTTTTTTCTTTTTAATCATACGTGTCAGTTATCTGTAATGTTGTTATTTGTTTATTACAAGAAACAACTTGTCGATATGTATCTTCAACTGTTGGAATATAATTTTCACGAAATTGCCCATTGACAAAACGAAGTACACAATTTGTTTTACCTATATTTATAATTATTTGAAGATAAATAGAAAATATCAATTATAATGAACATACCAACTCCAGCACTACCAAAAACAACGATTCGATAGTCTGTACTCTGATCGGGCATAAGCCGAAAGGGTGTAGACAAATCTTTATTGGGCTACAATAAATCAAACAAAAACAAATAATCAGAAAAATAAATAGCTACTAAATTAATAGAAAACAAGAATTTATCTGTTAAGTTTCCAATTGAGACAACATACTAGATAATAATCTGCGCTATACCCCTCAGCTGTCAAGTGTCTCTTTCTCTTACACAACAGTCACCATAGAAAATACATGATAAAAATTAGAAGGAGGAAAGAGGAGTAGGAGGAGTACAAAGCAAAACTATTGAATGCTTTCAAACTTAGTCGAGTTTTCTTATTTCTTCTCGTTCATATGCATCTTGTCCTTTATTCCTTACACGTCATCAACGGCAACAAGCAAGCCGTCACTTTTGTCGTCGTTCTCTAGGGAACATGACAAACTCATGCTCATTCTCTCTTTGATTCAAAAGACACGCAGCTAGAAAACATACAGGTACTCACACTGTTAATTAATCTCTGACATTTTCTATTTTTCTCTCGTCTCTATGTGGTTGATATATATTTATTTGTCAGGTAAAATAGTCTATTATTTGTTCTAGCTATATTTCTTGACAATAGTTAATAAAACAAGATAATAGGTGTGCAGGTGGGCAAATTCTATGTAGCTGATAATGAGAATAAATTGTGCGTGACGTTTATTTTTCTATAAACAAAATATCGATTAGATTTGAAAATATTTTCCTAAAAAAAAAGAAACAACAAGATGAGACAGAATAAAAAGAATATTATTCTGTTTAATTACAAATCTTCTATGTAAATTACTATGAACATTATTCAAACGCAAAATAACAACTGAAGATATATATTTAATATTTTAATTAATATGTATATATGTATCTATTATTTTGGTTTGTTTAGTTGTTGTTCATTTCGAGCTTTTTTTTTCCAAACAATATAAGAAAATTTGTAAACCCGATGAATCACAACTTAATGGTTAAAGTCAGTATACTGTATGGAAAAAATAAATGACAGATATAAAGAAAGAAAAAACCAGAAGAATAATTATATAATTTTCAAATCTAAAGTCATGGTGAACTTTTTATGGAATAGTTATTTGATAGTTTTATCACATTAAACATTGATCAACATAGAAAAAAAACAAACAGATTGTTTTTCTCGTAAGTAAATGTCAACATATCTATGAAAATATATTCATTATTCGTTTTGTTTTTCTCAGTAGAAAAAACAAGAAAAACTTTTTCATATTTATTTGATAAAAGATTTTCATCAATATTATTCGAATTTATCAATAAATTAATCTTACCTTATCAAGTGCCATTTTGTTTCGATTCGACAAACAATCAAAATAATCAAAAACCTTTCAATGCTGTGACTATATAGTGACTGATAGCAGAGAGCACACGCGCACGCATACATATGCTCACACGCACATCAACGTGCAATGACCCGTCTCGAATTCTTCCATCATCGCTCTCGTTATTGCTGACTTTCTCTATGTGTATTCTATCTTCGTTTTTTAGTTGAGTAATAATCACCCAGCAGCAGACAAAGAGAAACAGAAGTGGAGAGAGAGAGAGACAGAGAGAAAAGAGTAGGAAATACTACGAAAGCAAAGAGAGAAAGAGAAAGAGAAAGCACTACACTCTTTTTCCAAACGAGAAATGACGAGAAAATGAAGAAACATTTAGCTAAAAACCCTTGCTTCTAACCAAGAAGGAAGCGAACAAACGAGCGAGCGACTGAGCGAGTAAATGAGACAGTGTGTGTGAGCGATTTAGGCAATATAGAATAAATGAAGGTTAGAAGTTTTATCGGCTCCACATGCAAAACGTAGATACAACATACAATTGAGTAAAGAATCAGCACCTTGTTTCTTCCTTCGTATTTTTTTCCTTCTTCACTTTTTTTTTCTTTATATTATTTATGTTTCTTTATTTGGAATAAAAATGATATTCCATGTATGTTAGTATTTTTCTTTTTTCTCTTTACTTAACATTATTTATATTAATCGATAAAATGACGGTAGTAACAATTCGACAATTCTCAAACGCATTGACAATATTGGTCAATCCAATCAGTGCAATGCTTGTTTCTTTCCACATTGACATCTGAAGAACTCGGTCGTTGAATTAGCAACGACGTGGTTTTCCTTTTTCTATCTTTTTCTGTCTTCCTTTTCATTTTCTCTAGTCAGTATTCGCGATTGAATACACTCTTACACACACACACATACACACTACAATAATCGAGTTTCTGTGCTTGTGATCAAAAAATGATAATAAAAGAAGAAGCAATGTTATCTATCAGAAGCAGAAAATTCGGAAGAAACAAAAAAAAGACGATGACGACAATAAGATGATGCACAAGATGCAAAAAACGAGAATTTGATTGCAAGTGAATGTTGATGAATCGATAATGGAAATGCACATTATAGTTCTTCAGACTTTATACTATTGATTGACAGTCATATGGAAAGAAAAGACTGTCAACAAAAATAGAAAAACTTTTTAGTTTCTTTTGGAACATTGATTTACTATGAATAAGTTTGTTAATCATTAAACATAAATGGCACAGTATAATACAAGCAACATGCTCTGTTCTATAACATACTTAGCTGTTACACGCTCTGTTTAGAAGAATTTATTTCTTCAAAGAATACCGGGCACGATAAGCCAACAGATATGTTAATTTATGGTTAATAAAAAAAAAATTTTTTTCTTCTATAGTACATCTTATATCACACGATTCAACGTTAAATTAATAAAGCGTAACAAATATTGTCAGAAAAAGAAAAGGTTTCTTTTACCTGAATGTAAAAGAGAAAGCATTTTGATATAATAACTCGCCAGAAGGTTTATTTTATGTCCCGGAAGGAAAATAACAAGTTACATATCCGATGAGTCAAATTTTCTGTTATCTTTACTATATTCAATAGAAAAAGAATGAAAACACAAGGAATATTTATTTACCTGTGTTATTATTTGTTATTTTCTAATTAGAAACAAAAACTACTATGAATATTTAATTTCATAGATTTGTTTTTTATACGATATATATATATATATATGCCATCAGTGCATGTGTTTTTTTCTATTTTCTTGATCTATTAAAGAAGAAAACCTATATATATCACTATAGCTAAAAAGCAACTACTACTTCCGCTTGAGAAACATTGCGAAAAAAAAATCTACCAACTTTTTTGTTCATTGATATAATTGCCTTTCTCTTTTTATCCTACTCCATTCTATTTGATTTTGGAGGTTTTTTTGACATATGTTTTTTTCTATTTGCACTCTAATACAATCAATATTGTGACGATAATTCTCTAGAGAATTAATACATTAATATGCAAAAGATCTGAATAATGAATTGTTTGATTTTGTTTCAAAACATTAATGAAAATCAAAATTATTAAAAAAAAAGGAATTTTAAATTGATCATTGTTTGTCCTTTTGGCCTGCCTAAAAAATTAATATATCATACTTTATGAAGCAAAGCTTTTGTCTATAATTAATATAAAACATATGGGGAATTCGTTTGTTTTTTTATTAAAAACATTGTATATACATGAAAGTTTGATGAATTGGATTGAATAAATTTAAAAAGAAATCATTCCGATAGAATCAATAATGATAAGCTTTGAAGAAAAGATTCTCCTTAATTATACATATTTGTTTTATGTGTTTTTGTGTTTCAACTATTAATTTAACTGGAGATGAAAGGCAAAAATGAATATATTTACTTAAGGTCTTTAAGCAAAAGTTTGGATTGATGTTTTTTTTTAATAAAAAAACATGGGAACATTTCATTCATAGATCAAAAAAAGTTTTTCTAAATGTCAAAAAGCCTTGATTATTTCCGCTTTTATGAAGCTTTAATATAGCAAACAAAAAAAAACCATGAGAAAAGTTAGGGTCAATTCAAATATAATAGCTAGAATTGAATACTCTCAACTCAGTCGACTTCTTGATGAAGTTGTGTGTTAGGTTCCCCTGCCTTTCTATATGTTTTAGCTGTATGATGAATTCATCCAGTTCCTTTCATTTTATTCATTTATAAATATTTTCTTCTGAAGATCATTCTTCAAATGACACAATGATTTTATTATCAATTTAACTTGTGTTTCTATTTTCTTTTTAGCCGACTAATTGTGATCTTAACAGCTTTTATAATTTAAGTATGCTGTCTTCAAAATAAATACTACCAGGCATATCTTATGATACTGTCAAAATATTTATTGTTGGTGCTCAGTGTATCGCTGTACTAATCTGTAAATAAATTATTTGAAAAAGGAAACATTTGTTCGATTTTCATGTCTATTGTTTTTTGCTTTAACAAACTTACGATGAGTATAGATTTACAATTGATTGAAACCTAATGAGAAAATCTTTTCTTCTTTGAATGTCATTTTATTTTTTTATATCATAGCTACGAGTGAGATTACAGAAGATTTAGACAATTCAAGAAAAAAAGCCCCGAGCTTTATGATCCATCGAGATAAAGATCTGATTGTCTTATTGATCGAAAAATTAAACTTCTTACTAGTTTCTTCATTTATATGTCTTCGTTTGCAAAGTACAGATAAGATAAGATATTTTTGCATAAAATTTTCATTTAATTCTATGATCTTCAATTATTTGCACTCTTTCATCAATGGCAAAAAATTATTATACAATTCAAATCAATAAAATACTGTAAAAAAAAAGTACATAAATATTAGGTTTTTTTATTCTTAAACAGGACGGAGAAAAGAGGACGAACTGTTACGAATAAGATTTGATGAAGATGGCATTAGCATGAAAAACATAAATTAAAAGAGTAAAGAAAACTATATTTTGTCGACTCATAAGTCAATAACATGTCCGTTGAGTCAGGTTATACACCGAAGCCCATTTAGAATCTTCTTGAGCTTGTCAAGTCCCATTAGTAGTCAAAATATAAAATTGAGCTGTATCCGGTAATCAGAAATGTTTCCTCAAAATGTCGATCTACTTCTCAACCTACATGTTGAAGAAGAAATATCTTATAAAAATAAAAATCAGTTTTTGAAGTTTTCATGAAATTAAGATAATAAAATTTTCTCTTAGAAAAAAAATTGTTTTCAACAAGTTGTTAACTAAGCTTTTGAAAAAAATTAAAAATACTTTCAATGACTAATGATTATTTCCTTCTCTTTAAAGTACATTTTCTATGTTTCACAAATCAAATTATTTTTCACTTAATTTTTGCTAAAAGCGTACGCTTGATTAAATCTAAACAGCACAATTTTATTCTTGATGATTTATAGAAGTAATTGTCTTGTGCTGCATTTTTTTTGAAAGTCTCTCAAACTCGTAATATTCCTATGATTAAAAATTAACCACATTTATACTTAGATCATGCCGAACCTATTGACATTTATATTAGATCATAGGAAACAAAGCTTGATGGGAAATTTCTGCTCATACATACTTGAAATACTAATAATATTCTATATTTGTCGGTTCTATAATTATTATGGAATGATCTTTATTAAAGAAAAAAATTCCAATAAAAGTTATTTCACCTCTACTATCGAATGAATGAGGGAAATTTTCATTTTTACATAGAAATACTTGTTGCTCTAAATATCCTAAAGAAATTACTCATGATGAATCATATCCTGTTTAAGACGATTAACCTCCTGCAGGCAATGCAATAACGACATGACTCAATAAAGCTTGGCGAAGAGATTGAACAGGAGGAATACTTTGCTGGCTATGTAACCGATGTGTCATCTGAAAATACCGATAAAGTTTGTTGCCTTATAGATGATAATTCTTATTGCAGTGATAGAATGAATCAATTTTGAGTATCTGAGATTACCGAAAAAAAAATGGTTGCTCATTGAAAATTCAATAGCTGCTTGATGTGCAACATTTTGAATAAGTCAGAATGGATAAAAAAGGCTTAGTGAAATTTGAGTAAAGAACGTAATGATTATGTCTTGTAGTAATAAGCAATGAATAATTGTTTTTACATAAATAAACTGGTAGTAAGCTTTCGAATACGGTCTAAAAATCAAATCTAGATAATCTACTGACTGTATCTCAACTAAATTTTCCATTTTGCAATAGAAGATCTCGGGCCTTCTACTGTGTCTCATGTATTTCCATAGTTTTTCATAGAAAGTCGTTGTCAATGAAAAGCTAAGTAATTTTGAAAATTTCGGAAGAAATTATTCAAAGGTTTTAAATTCCGAGAAATAACGTTGACTTCAATCTTTTCGAATTTTCTACGGAAAACTCTGAAAACTAATTAGTCATATTTTGATGTAAATATACAAATTGAAGTTCCAATTATTCGAGAAACTAACTAATTAAGGAGCGGGAGGTCTTCTATTACATCCGGCGCATATTTCCGCTAATAGGATCTTCTATTACGAAGGAAGGTTTAAGTAATTTTCCTATGAAGACATTGTTCGGTATCATTTTCGAAACAACGAGTTCCATGTTCATCCATCATGTCCATTAAGATTAAGTCATTGATCAATATGCTAACATCAATAATGGTTTACAACCTCGTGTCAAAACATATCAGAAAGTGAACACTCAAATTTGACACATATGTTGTCAAACTTCACTATGGCAATGGCAAAACCATGCATTCATAAAAATGCTTTTAATAGTCTCATATCGAACGGTGTCATCATTTTTTGAAAGCCATGAAACTTTTCAAATTTGACGCTATATGAATTTTATTTAGATGATTTGTTCAAATAAAATTCAAGTGAAAAGCAAAACTTCGAATGCATGCTCTATACTATAACAAGGATGTTTCATTTATTATCTAAAGATGACTTTAGAAATATACTTTCTATAATTAACTTGAAGTTGAAGGAAAATTATTCTATGGAAATAATCAAAGCAATTATTTCAAACAATTAAGAAATCTTGTTTAATATGTTTCTAGGTTTTTTCTTAAGTCTCATTAGTTTTTGTATACATTAATTATATTATCCTTTACTCTAGATATCTATAAATAAATGTGAAAAAAAAGCTTTGTTTCAATTATTTAATCATCCTACGCATTTTCATTCTGAGTGTCAATTTGCACATATACATCATATTTAAAGTATTACTTCTTTTCTTTTTCCATCGGTGCTTTGTTGATGATTCTCCTAAATTTTCTCTCTCTCTCTCTCCCCCTCTAAAAACATTTACATGCAAAAGAAAAATATTATAAAACAGACTTATCCAACTGAATATATTATCTATATTTAAATCATTGAGCCGGAATAATCACCGACTAATTTACGTCATAAAACGTACTTCTATAGTATAATATAACAAAAGAAAATTCAATTTTGTTTTTGATTAAGGTTAATACCATAAAAGAAAATTATTTTTACGCATCAAAAAATTTAATGTTAATGATAATAGAAGATGTATAATCATTTAATTTTTAATATACATACTCCTGTTGAAAATATCATTGCTTTTGATTGACTACGATTTGAACGTCCACATGCACCAGCCATTGATTAAAACACCATATAATAATTAAGAATAGAAAATATCATAAGTCAAAAGATGTTTCTACTAGAAATAAATGAAGAAAAAAAACATATAGATATATATATATATATATATATAAATCAATGAAGTGAGAATTTAATCATTTCTTTTTACTTATTAACTCACATTGTTGGTTGTTCCGTTTATTGCTAATTAACTACGTTTATTCAATTATGAAATTTCTGGTTTTTTTCATCATTAAATTTGTTATCAACACATCAAGTATAAAAAGAAAAAAAAACAGAAGAATAATTGCTTTCTTTTTCAAATCTCCAAGTTGAAAATATGAGAGAGAGAATGATGACATTGGTTGGCGGACAACAAGCTGAATGTATGTGTGTGTGTGTGTGCATTCATCATGGAGAGATCATGCGTCGGAGGATGATTCTTCTTCGTCTCACAGTATTGCTGCTCTGACGTTGTTCTCGTCGTCTTTTTTTCATTATATCAATGTATGTTTGCGTGCATGTTCCCTTTTTTTTCCTCAATGCTCTTTCACTAAATCGTGTCCGTCATGAGACAATTTCATATAAGCAATAGGGCAACATCAACACACTCTTTCGTATCGTTTATTTGTTATTTTTTTTCCTCTTTCTAGATAAATTTGCTTTTCGTGAATGATATTAATAGCTCAGATTTTTATTAACGTAGACCCGGTAATATAAAAAAAAAAATTTATAAACGCAGAGAAAGACGAACATGAAGACACATTCATGAACTATGGTAATGTTGTTGATAATGATGGCAATTCTCAAACATCATTCATGCGCATTTCTCATATTTTTTCGAAAGAAAAGAAAAGAATAAAACCAAACATACTCAATGATAAGGAGGTGTAGAAGTGCGTATAAAGTATAGATGTGGATATAAAAAGAGATTTAGTAATAGCATCATGAAACCCCCCCCCCCCCCCCGCGTCCCAACTTGCCTCCGTTTTTCTTCTTTCTTTCAACAAGAATAAAATCTTTTTCATCTGATTATTCTATTCTCTATCTTTCTTCCTATCTCAAGTTTCTTTCTTTAGAAAGTAATGTTAATCTTTAATCCGCCTTAAATACCACTAGTTAATGAAATTACCTAGACTATTTCCTTTTCTCTTTTGTAAGATAGTTCAAAGAGACAAAAAAACCATGAAGGTACAAGAGACAAGGTTTTTTAATATTAAATTAAATTAGTTCAACAAATTGATATTCTTTCCAAGCAATATATAATGGAAATGCTAAACATGGCGAAATAATAAATATAAGAGTAAATATAAAATAAGCAATTAATCGTTTGATTTTTGATGATCGGATTCGATAAGCATTACCAATAGATAAGTATTCATTTGTAATAATAAATAAAATAAGACCAATAAATAATGATACATAATCAATAGACCAAATAACTGTAATTGGATTGATCATATTAGATATTTCAGTCACATAACTTTTTTTAATGAGGTCATTCGACCAATGCATGATAAGAGAAACAAACGTTATAAAAAAGAGTGGAGCTGATAAAATAAATAGAATTATTTGGGAATAAACAATAAGTCGATGACTATTAATAATCCAACAACGTTGAATAGATTCCGAAAATAAACGAACCGGTAATGATATAAGAGCAAAACCAAGTGGAGATATAAGAAGAATAATTGACATTATAGAAACAATCACTTTATGTGATGAGAGAAAGTATACTAAATATGTTGGAGTTATAATTATTAAAATTATATAAATAAGTCCAGTATATAGAATATGAAGTGGTACAGGCGATTTGTTTAACTTATTTTCTGATTTATAAAAATGAACATATGATGGAATAAATAATATCGGAAAACAAACTCCAATACCAATAATAAGAAATATTGTTTGAATTATCATTTGTCCAAGAAGACCAGAAACATTTGTTCGAGTTGATTCAATAATAATATGAAAAAAAACGTTTGCATAAGTAAATAAAAGTGATATCAATATATAACGATCCCATTGTGTTAAAAGAGTATTATTAATAATCGAACGTATATAACAAAGAACAATTGGTTGTGTATCATTTTTGCATTCATTGACTAGATTAGAAGATAAATTCCACTTAATAGATGTTACAATAAATCCAGCAAGACATGATAATCCTAATACAATGGAAAGAATAATGATTATATATTTAAAAATATGCTTTGATCGATTTGAAGGATTTTGTGAAACATCAAGATCTAGACGATGCATTCTTGTTTTTTGGTTCGATATTAATAATATAAATTTTTATTACGTTAACATTTTATTTTATTCTTTTTTTTTGATAAACTTTTTTCTAGATAAGAAATATGAGTGATACATTTATTTGCTTTTATTTTGTATTAATATTCAGAAGATATGATGTCATCAAAAGAAGCATGACAAAGTTTATCTTATTAGAAAACAAAAAAGCAGTTTTATCTTTGATAAAGAATCTTGAATTATAAAAGATATTTTGAATGCTTTTTTGATTAACTAGATCAAGATACTCAACCAAAAAGAATTAATCTATTGATTATTTAAAATACAATTATGCCCATATTTTTAATATCATGTTAAAGTTCAATGTTGAAGTTTATGGGACATTTGTTTATTCGATATGATTAATAGTTATGTCAAATGATTTATTATAATGACAAGAATAAATGCAGTATACTTAATCATTTAATTGAATGCTTTTCTGTTAAACGAAAGTTGTTTTTTCATGTTCGAAAGCATACTTAGGTTTTCTATGTTTAACACATTTAATAAAATGCTGTAAAATATGTTTCCCTTCACGTACTGCAACCAATCAACTGTCAGAATGTATGAATATTCATGAGATACACATCCGCAAACAGTTTATATATATATATATATACGAGACTTTCATAAAACTACGATTACTTTTGTTGATCTATTCCATATTGATTTGATTGTTTTATCAATATATAATTCTTCCTATTTACGTGATATTGTTCTATTTACAGAATATTTTTCTATTTTATTTTCCTGCTTTTATTGATGAGCTGAATTAAATAAATATCAATAGTTTAGGATAATAAAAACAAAGCATGTTCATGAGAAAGTATGTTGAATGTGTTAAAAGTAACAGAGAAAAATCATAAAGGTCTAGAAATTTGCTATATTTTATTGAATTCACGCTCAGATATTTCACTAATAATTGACATTTAAACGAAAGACAAGAAACAACATCCTAATTTAACGCTTTAAATATTTTAACAAAAAAAAACACATGTAGCTTTCTATCACACGAAAATTTTTGGGCAAATTAAAGTTATAAGAAGAGTATAGAAGAGTAAAAATTGTCCTACAAGCTAGACTCAACATCAAAAAATGTTTCAATTAAACATCTATATTGTTTTTTAGGTTTGTGACTAAATTGCAGATATTTCTGAGTTTGGATTCGTAGTGGATAAACTGATATGTGCATCACGTAATAATTTGGAAAAGGCAGAGTTGGGATTTGCAGCTAAACGTTTTGGTTCATCATATTCTTGTAAACACCCATTAGATAAAACAAGAATTCTATATATAAAAAAAAACACAAGAAAAATTATTTTTAGCAGAGTAAAACACCAGAACATACTTTGTACTATCTAGAATTGTATGAAGCCGATGCGCAATAGTTAATACTGTTGCATTTTTAAAAGCCGATCGAATTGTCATTTGTATTAATCGATCTGTTTCCATATCAATAGCTGAAACAAAAACGAACAAAGGGTCACATCATAATTACAGATAAAGACTTAATTACCGGCTGTTGCTTCGTCAAGTACAAATATTCTACTCTTTCGTACTAAAGCTCTTGCCATACATAATAATTGTCTTTCACCAGCGCTAAATAGCCAAAAAGGGATTTCTTGTTTTTTTTTGATTTTATAGATTTTATTCAAAGTTTACCTTAAATTTTCTCCACCTTCAGTTAATAAATATGAAAGACCATCTTCCATCGACCGAATACGTTCTTTTATATGTACTAATTCTAATACTGCCCAAATTTCTGCATCACTATAACTACCGAATGGATCAACATTAAATCTTACTGTTCCAGCAAAGATGACTGCATCCTTAATGATAATAAGAAATGTTTTTATTCTAAATGTATGTATTTAATTACTTGTGGAATAATGGTAATTCTTGATCGAACATCATGTAAACCAATATGACGAATATCAACATTGTCAATAATTATTTCACCATTTGCAGGTTCAATTATACGAAATAGTGCAATACAAAAACTACTTTTCCCACTACCTGTACGTCCAATAATACCAATCTAAATATAAAAAATAATAATAATTTAATTTAAATATTTTAATTTTTCTTTACTTTTTCTCCTGATTGAATATTAACTGTAATATCTTGAAGAACTAATTCTAAATTTTCACGATATCGTATTGATAAGTTATTAATTCTGAAATAAAAAACAAACAAACAACAACAACGATTTAAAATTAAAACTAAAAGAAAAAAAGGAAAAAAAAATCATTGCATACTGAATTTCTCCAGTATTGGGCCAATCAGGTGGTGGTTTCTTATTTGATATTTCCCATGGAGCTTCTGGTTTTAATGCAGTATATTCATTAACACGTTCAACACTAACAATATTTGTTTCAATATCACTTGCCATACGAACAAGCCAATTAAGTGATTGAGTTATTTGCATTGAATAAGTTATTGTTAAACCAACAATACCTGCTGTAAGACGATCACGCATAAGAACAGCAAATAAAGCTGTACATAATGTTAATGCATTGGTAATAGCTTCCAAACGTATTGCAAGCCATCTATTAATTAAGAAAAATATATTTTACAATAAAATGATATCGTTTCCTACAACGACACTGTCTTAAAACAGCATTCATACTATTTTATTTACTTCCTATCTTATGTCGACATTTCTAAAGACAGTTATTTGCAGATATTTTCTTTATGATTTACGAGAAAATTGTTTCAACGAAATGACATATGTTTTAGTTTCAATATAAAAAATTCTCTTAAAAATAATTAAACTTATAACTAACCTATTAGAGATAGTACTAGCAAAATAACATGATTGGTTTCTATCAAGCAATCGATCTGATAAATCAATAAAACGTTGTTGTACATTATAAGCTCTAATTGAACTAAGTCCTTGAATTGTTTCTCCAAAATTTGAATAAACAGGACTACGTGTACTTGAATCAAGACGTCGAAGTTGTCTTGAAGATGCCACATAAACACGCTAAAATAAAACATAAAATCTCAATAATCATCATATAAAATTTTCGATAAAATACCTGAACAAAAGAAAAAAGTATAGCAAGCGGTATTAATGCACAAATGGCAAATGACGACCCATATATAAGTATAATAATAGTTATTAATACTTGTGCTAACGTAGTAAATGATGATGAAAATGAAGTCGGTAAGGATGAATCAATTGCATCGATATCTTTAGCAAAGCGATTGATTATTCTTCCGATTGGTGTCGTATCAAAAAATGCCATAGGTGCACGTAATACACCAAATAATACAGATGAATGCAGTCTTCTACTAGCAGCATAAGCAGCAAGATAAACAAAAAATTGCATAGAAAAAGCCACAAATCCTAGAAAAGAAGAGCATCACACTCGAATCTAGTTTTTTTTTCTACATTCATGCATGACTAAGAGCAAAAAAATCAAATATTCTTTCTATAATTTAATTATTTTTTTTTTTTTGTTAACCTCAAGAAAAATAAATGGAATAAATATTATAATCATAATTGGTATTGTTTCAGGCAGAAAATTAGCAATAAGGATAAAACAAGTAATAAAACCAAGTGTGGCATTAAGCGTTGAACGTAATGTAAACATCATATCATTATCAATCATATCAAAATCAGTTGAACAACGATTTATTATTCTACCAATAGGTGTTTGTTCAAAAAAAGATAATGATAATCGAAATAAATTAAGAAGAAATTTATTAAATAATTTACGCGATGCATTCAAACTTGTTTTAAACATTACGTAGGTGCCTGTGAACTCAAATAGAACTACAAACATTTTTCTTTTTAAATAATATTATTCGAATGGATTATTTTTTATGTAAAAACAAAACAAACAAAGAATTTTGTTTTTCTTTTATTTATTACCTTGACAAAAACCTAATATTGAATAAACTGTTAAACCATGTATTTTACTAATTGATGATGATCTTTCATTAGTTGATATTGTTACATTTTTAGATCGATCTGTCCATCTTGATAACCATACATTTGTACTTAATGATGAAATTGTTGTTAATAAAAATAAGACAAATATAAATGAAACCATTGGTATTGTACATGCACGAATATAAGTAAGAAATACAATTAATTTAACCTAAAATTTTTTTTTATATTTAATAAATGGTACAAAACTAAAACAAATAAAATGAAATAAAACTTACTGAACCAGTTTCAACAGTTTCTTTTTGAATAAGTTTATCTTTTTTTTCTTTTGATTCATATGAAGTTATTTCAGCTGTTGTTATTTCCTCGTGAATCTTATCTTCGGCTACTTTCAAGATATTTTCTTTGATTTCAATTGGAGATGTTGGTGGAGTTTTAGCTTCTAAATTAGAAAAAAAAGGGGGGAGGAATGACTAATATAATTAGTCAGTGTGATTCCATGTTCGATTTATTTAAGCCTCAGAGGTCTTCCTAAAGTATGTAAAATCATACTGATCATGACGAACACAATGGGCAATATTTAATCGATTAGGTTTATCACACGGAGGAGATAGAATCGATTTACACGTGTTTTTATCGATCGGTCAAGCCGCTGTCTAACTACGACTACGGCCTTACCGATCATCAAATATCGATGAACTGCGATATAAGATGATATAGATTGACATGGTGAAATAACATGCAGAACAAATAAATGTTCTATATAAGTCTGATGTTCGTATCTAACTAACGGCTATCTTTTCTTTTTACTAATAGAATACATAAGAAACATCATTTGTTCAAGAAAATCATTAGTCGATCAAATTTAATATTCGACATCGATTAATTACAACGAAATCCAATCAAAGTAATTACAAGTGAAAAATAAAAATATCTTTTGAAAAAATCTATAAATCTTTGCTTTTCTTATTAGAAAATGATTTTTTTTCTTCATTAATGATTTTAAATAATAATTGTTCAAAAAGAAGTGTTCAGAGTTTTTGTTATTTTTTAACCAAATGAATTTAGTCTAAGATTGAAACTTTATTGGTCAGAATAAATGAAAATCTATCTCGCTTTTATAACAGAGGTCTCAATGGTCTGATTCAATATTGTGATGGACATACATAAGTGAAATCTTGAAGAGAGCATAAAATTTAAAAAACAAAACGTTGCATATCGAACATCAAATATATAAAGTACAACAAAGCAATAAAATGATCCTCAATTTACATTTTCTAAATCTAATTCTACTATTACTTACAATACAATATAAATTTGAACGGATTGAATATCTTTTGAGACAATAACCATCAATATATGGTATTATTAAAAATGAAATAGCAAACATATCTTTATTTTGGCAAGTTTTTGATTTGTCAATGAAAAAAATCAGAAAATACTAATGAATTTGAGAGAAATGAAAGATTTTTCAAATTGTCAAATATGTTACTGAACTTTTGTTTCTACATCTATTATCGGTACACAAAATATGCTTATTCATTCCATGTGTTAAAAACTTATTAAGTATAATTAGATGAGTGGACCATTTTTTAAGAGAAAAATCATGGGTTCGATTAGGTCAAAAGTCGATAACCCATGGACTGACATTCTTCGGCTCAGTTCAACCGATTGAGATCTCTGTTTCATAAACATATACTATAAAATATGATAGTAATATTGTATACCTGTCTCACTTGATTTGTGTTCAGTTCCTTCCATGACAATTGCAGATACAAAATCACGTAAAATTTTACTTTTATTCATTAATTCATCATATGGTCCATGATCAATGATTTCACCACGTGAAACAACAACTATTTCATTACATTTATGTAAATGTGCTATACCATGTGTTACTAAAAGACGAGTCTAAAAATTAAATTAAAACGACTTTTTTTGAATAGTTAATGCATATAATTATTTTACTTTGGTTTTTAGTAAACCATTTGGTCCAATAGCTTGTTTAAATATATGAGCACCAACATGTGCATCAACAGCTGATAAAGGATCATCAAGTAAATAAATATCTGCTTCACTATATAAAGCTCGCGCTAAAGAAACTCGTTGTCTTTGTCCACCGGATAGATTAATACCCTATTTTTAATTCATTCTTATGTACATATATTATCAAAATTCTATCATATTTACCTTCTCACCGATTTCTGTTTCGTCTCTGTGTGGTAATATATCTAAAATTAAAGATATTTATCAAAAAATAAATAAATAAATAAATTTTAGATTACCAAAGTCAGGTTTTAATGCACATGCTTCAATAACTTGATCATATAATTTTTGATCAAAAATTTTTCCAAATAAAATATTTTCTTTCAGTGTTGCATTTAAAACCCATGCTGTTTGTGGTACATAAGCTATTGTTCCACTAACATCGACTTGACCATTAATTTTACTCATTTCACCAAGTAAAACTGATAATATACTTGTTTTACCTGAACCAACTGATCCAACAATGGCAATAAGTGAACCTTGATGAATTTTAAGATTAATACTAAACAAAAACAAAACAATAACTTATTTTTTAATCAATAGTTATTTAGGTGTTTTTTCTATACTTTTTTAATATGATTGGATCTTCAATTGAGGTTGACCATCGAAATGAGCCGTTCTCTATCTTTATTGCATTACCATCAGCATCAATAGTTGTTTTATTGACCGCATATTCATCAATTTCTTCATTATTTAAAAATTTTTGTATACGTTTATTTGATACATTAGCCTAAAAAATGCAAAGAATTTATAATAAAATGTGCTCTTAAAATATCAACAATTTACTTCAATAATACTATTAACAATACTCGGAAATACAACAAGTGGAAATCGAAGTAAATTAAATAATGCTAATGAAACAAAAGCTTTTTCAGCTGTTAAAATATTATTCTCTGATGATAACACATATGCAGCAAATGTTGTAATGCATACCTTGACAAAAAAGTGAAAAATTCGATGAATTTATTTAATAGTCAATAGAAGATTTATTTACGAGAATTGGTGCAAATGACCATACTGCACTTGAAAAAGCATTTAGAATAGCTTTTTGACGTATACATTGAAGTTCTTTTTCTCGTACATCATTTATTCGTCGAATGAATGCTAATTCCCATGCATATAATTTTAAAACCTTTATTCCATTAAGAACTTCATTCATCATTTTTATTCGTTGATCTTTTAATTTCATTTGTTTTGTCTAAAGTTAATTTCGAATTATAATTTGAGAAAAAAGTAGTTTTTCTTTTAAACTATCTACATACTGTTAACTTCTTTATAATTCTTTGTAAATATAAATTAAATGGAATTAAGAGAATTAATAAAAGAACACCAGGAATAATGGCTAATTGCATTTGTTGATAAAGTAATACCAGTGCCAGACAAATTTGAAATGGTCCTTATTATTATAAACATAGTTAGGTTTGCATATAAAATACAGTCCTGGACAAAAGTAGCTGCCTCTTCCCCCATCTCCTTCACGAAGTGCTACTGTTCTTTATGCTACTGAGCTGATATTTTGTTTGCACGTGTGCAACAATAAAACTTAATCGCAAGTATCAACTAGCCTTCAATTGTTTCACATGTACTAGGGTTATAATTCAAGCAGGATCTTCCTCTTGTGACGACCTTATCTCAATCATATTGGCATTGACACAAATATACTCGTGTCACTATTGATTCAAAAGATTACTGTCATAGTTATTTTTAGTTCGAATTTCGTTTGAAATACCTTTAAAATAACTAATGTATTGTCTTCTCGAAAAAAATATCTGCTGAAGAGTAAATACTGGTTTTTACTAAGATAGATCTTCTCCATGATGACTTCCATCGATTCTTTTGAAAATTCCAGTACAAAGTTTCCATCAGATAGCAAGTTTGTTCTCAAAAGTTTGACGACCTCAACATTGAATGAGGTCGAATTAGCACTACGACATAGGCTCATTATCGTAGTGCGTGCTAATGGCTGAAAACTTAAATATGTCCACGGGTTTTGAGAATAATAAAGTAAACATATGGAACTTTGTTTAGCGCTCGAAAAAAAAGCAGTAGTAGCTTGTGGAATAGCAAAGTGACAAATAGAAACTTTTTCAGAGCATATTTTCGCTGAATATATTTATCATCAGAGCAAGACGATATGTGAATCATAACTTCAGTACATGTGAACAGAGAGAGAAAGTGGGTTAGTATTTGTGATCAGAATTTATTATCGCACGCATGCAACCAAATGATCAGTTCAATATCATAAAGAATAGTAGAACTTCATGAGAGGTAGCTAATTTTATCCAGGACTGTAGTATTTAATTATGATACTTACCAGACCATAAAACATGAATATATGAAGTAATATCACCGAAACGTGAAGCATCGATTGACATCTATATTTAAACATGAAGAAAAAAACATAATTTATCTTTCAAAAAAAAAAGTTTATTTACCAGATTAACAATTTCTCCAGTTGTTGTTCCTTGTTTAGCTGAATTTGATAATTTTAAACTCTGTATAATAAGCAAAAACAAAATAATATAAATAAAAATAGGAAAAATAAAATTTACTTTTCGATATATAAGTCCAGTTATAGCTGAACGAAATCGAAGACCAACAATATATTGTCGATGAAAATAAGCTTGTAAAAATAATGTTTGACAAAACACAGTTGCACCAAGTAGAATAGCATAAAATACACCGAGCCATGTTGGTGCTGTTGAATCATTTAAAAAAGTAAGAACTTGTCTAGATAACAAAAACAAGATCAATATGTTGTTTCAAACGAAAATACAAAAAAGAAATTTTATTGTACTTGAGAATCATTGGTCCACTAAATTGTAAAATATCATGAATAACTTTCATCAAACCACTAGCAATAAGTTTGCCTTTATATGCCAGAAAGAGTGCACGCCAAAAAACGATTGGTTTTCGATTCGATGTTGGTATTGCTTTTATTTCAACTGATGGCTTTTTAATACAAAAGAAATAAGAATAATTGAAAATAAGTAGATCTTAATTACTTACCAATCTGTTTAACTAAATAAAAAAAGAAATATCAATACATATTATAGAAAAATTCCGCAGTGACAAAAAATAAAACTATTCAATCTTAAAGAATGAATAGATAATTACAAAACTTACTAAATCTTGATTCTCGTCTTGAGTTTTCTTTCTATTTGAGGAATCATTTTTATTCCACGTTTTACTCTTTTCATAGGCTATGGATTTTGCTCGATTGATTGTTCTAGAAATTTTATCATAAGAAAAGAATAGACAAAATTATTTCAATCTATCAACCCTTCTAAACAAGCTTGTACACGATGAACAACATGAACAGCTCGTTCTGATATTTCCAATTGCCAACAGTCTTCTTCAGTTAATGGTTTTTTATAACCACGAACAATAAGTGGTGTTACCCACCAGAAAGTTATACGAGATGGAAAACTTTTATATAATTCAGGTACAATTGGCTAGAAATACAAAAAAAAGAATAATTTTGAATAAGATTTATTTTGATCAATCAATTAGACATGGTACCCTTTCATCGGCTGCTAATTTAGGAAAATTATATTTTTCTGATAAACAATGCAAAATAAATGAGCCAAATGAGAGAAGAATATGAAGCCATACACGAATGACTTCGTTCAACATACGCCTTGATCGATCCTATATAGTATTCATTGCATAGTTTAAACAAAATTCATAATAAATAAAATAATTTACTCGTTGGTATTCAATTGAATAATCAATCACATCAGGTATTATAGCCACAAAGACTAATAACCAGAAGCCAAAAAGTAGACCCGAACAAAACATACCTTTACGACGTTCATAATTCATTAGCCAAAAAATAGTTAATAATGTTATTATATATAAAACTGGACTTATAATATTGGCTTGACTTTTTTCTCTATCCGATGGTAATGCATAATAAATAATACGAACCGCTTGAACAAGAAGAAATAGAACAGCGAAAACCTATGATATAGATTCAAGCTACTGTTCAGTTTTTTTTTTTGTTTTTCATTCGATGTCATTTGTCTTCAATCACAAGTCATAATGATGGTTAGATTTTGGAAAGACTCCACCTCTATTTCTATATCATATATTTGCAATACTCTAGTGATAACGTCTAAAAATTATACGGATTTGGTAAAATCATCTATTTTTATCATTCTGTTTTTTATTTAAGAAATCATTCTCTATTGTTCTTTTTTATGCTAGTTGCATTCAGAGAAGAAAAAACAAGAGCATAGAAAAAGTAATGCAAGATACAGATATTTCATATAATATTTTTTTTACTCTTGTGCAATCAAGTCGATGTCTTGATAAACTGTCAAACAAAAAAAACTTTAAAATCACAATAATTTCTCTCATCTTTTCACAGATTTGTAGAGCATAATAATTTCTGCTATCATATCTACAGAATGATAGGTAAGCGGAGCAGCGTTTACCTTCATAAGGTATGTAGAATTATTGTGAATCCTGTTACAATCATTTCAAAAATTATACATTAGTAAGTTCAATTAGGTCCTTCAACTCTTATTATTTTCTTTTTAAACGCCAAGATAAACACAAATAAATATGGACATATTTTTACCATTTTAAAAGTGAACAAATTTGAAATAGGCAATCGTTGTGGTTGAATTTTTCTTTCATGTAACATCCATATCCAAAATGGTAAAATTAACCAAAAAATCCCCACTGAAAACCATTGTAAGGCTGTATCACGAAAGCATTCCGTTAAATAAGGATATGACGCTTTTGTTACATTCTTATCCTGTATGCAAAAAAAAAATAATTTAACAAAAAAAACATAAAGAAAATACGAATAATTTGATTCAAAACACACCCAAAATGGAGTCGTGCAGATGCGAACCATTTTTCTAAAATACAACACAAGCTAGTAGATGATGCTTGATACTTCGCGTTTTTTTCTTCAAATATATATATTCATGCATTCATCAAACACATAAGATTTAGAATAAGAAATAAATTTTTTTATTAACGTTTTCTTTTCTTTTTTTTAAGCATCTTTTCGATTCAGTTGGAACATACAAAGAACATAGAGAAAAAGAAAGCATGATAAAGACAGTCAAATATTTGTTGATAACATTCGTGTTTTCTTTTTGTTTTTGAAATCATAACAAGTATCTTTCGATGATCACAAGAACATATTTCCTAGATTTACATATGTTAAACAAACATATTTTAGACTGTCAATACAGAAAAAATAAAATAAAACGGAACAAAAAACAAAAAAAAACAAGGACAAATAGACATACAGAAAAGAAACGATAATAAAAGAAAATGAATGATTATAATGTGACTAAGATTATTTAACCCTTGCATAAACTTTCAAGAGCATCACTTGTGTTCCAATGCATTGCTGATAATGCTGAACGAGCTTTTTCCTAGAAAAAAAAACCCAACAAGTTATCTAACATATCATTGAAAGAAAAAATTTCACTTCAGAAAAACCCATTTCAACGAGACTTGCTACAGCTGCATCACACTCTGATTCAGGATTTGGTCCTAGAGAATATAATAAGACATATTTCTAAATTATTATTTCAAAGTTTTTATTTACCATTTGCGTATACATTTGCCCAATGTCGAGCTGTTTTCTCAAATAATTTTCGATCCTTTTTGTATTGATTAGCAACAACTAAAGTAATAAAATATACAAGAAAAAATTAATTTCGGGAATATTAATATTACCTGCATCTTGCGGATCATCTGGCTCTGGTGTTGCAAGTAATGCTTGTAAACTGAGCAACACTGTTCGTATAGTCATTGCAGCTGCCCTATTACAATAGATAAGTATTTAAACTGCATATAAGTTTAAAATTCGTAGCGACCAATGTGTTAAAACTAAGTAGGACAATCTTATAGGAAAAATCACGATAGTTTAAAATCTATTTTATCATTTCTGTATAAAACAAACTCTGCATATAAATGTATAATGATAAATATAGGGCACTTGCTCCACTAACGGTTACTTAGGTCACGCTTAGTTCTCAATGCTAGTGCTTGGAAGCTATACACCATAAGCAAAATCCTTCTCCTTCTTCCCACTCATTCTTTTCACAAATTACTCCTTCGGTCTCAAGTGAAATATACGTCTTTCAATATAGTTGAACAACATTACAAATGAGCTGTTTTGACAGAATGTCTTACGTTTAGGTTATCTCTTCTTTTGTTGTATCTATTAACTGTTCTAGTGATTTCAATAATTAAACTCTCTTCGTCACCGACCCGAACTGCTTTCGAGAATGCGATATAGGAGATTATACAAATACAGATAAATTAAAATTAGTAAAACATTCAGAAAATATTAAAAAAAGAGATAATTCATCCATAAAGGATTTTGTCAACCAATTTATTTGTAGTATTTGCTGATTGTATTGACTGATGTACATTCTTCATTGAAGCAGACCGTAATTAATCACACATGACACTAACATACAGTATTTAAGCCATTCCAATAACCAAGATTCGCTTGAGACGAAAGGGATTCGATGCGAAAAGAATGAACACAGGGGAGAAAAGGCTCTTGCCCATAGGTGCATATTAAATTTAACTGTAGATATTACCCTTATCCTTCTCTTTCTGTTCAATATCTACCAGTGTTTGCATAACTTTGAATCAAATTTTCAAAAAATTGTGATGAAATTCTGTTCAAATGAATATCATTTATTTTTAAAACTTGAAGATAATTTTAGTAAACTATTGAGTGCATCTTTCAAAATTGTCATACACACAACGGGAGAAAAAAATGAAATTTGAGTAGCTTGAAGTACGATAATTCACTGATGCTTCACTTTTATTCCGGCATAGAGAAGTCTTGCTTTACTTCCCTTCCATATACCTCTTTGATTATTGCATACGTGCTAATATTCCCAAGAAGTTTTTCATGATTACAGCTTTGTTCACTGGAATTGGCTTTATTAATAACAACGTGTTTTAAACTATGAATTAAGAATTGTACTAGGACAGAGATTAAAACTAACGAAGTATATTGAAATAAAATATAAGAATAAAAAGAAATTTTCAAGGTTTTTCTCAACATTCTACTAAAGTTAGAACATGAAATTTTTCTTTTTTGATGGAAAATATTCTGCAACTATTTTAACAAAAATCTGGAAAATGCATTAAGTATACATGTTATAGTTGGTTCGATATAGTTCTATGACGACAGATCGTGAAATATAAGAGAAAATCAGGAAAATAGTACTGCTGTGAGGCCTGCATACAGTTAATGACAAGCAATAATAATATATTTTAATGAAAACCTAATGAATTCTTACCATTGATCTTTTAGAATATCAAGACAAATTGCACCAGTAACTGAACTAACATTAGGATGCCAAATTTTTGTTGTAAATCGAACTTTAGGTGGATTAAATGGATATGTATCTATAAATAAAAAAAGCTGTTAACGCTATATCTGCCGGATTAAAATGTGAAATAGGATGTAGCTGCTGATGCTAATCAATGAAAAATTGTATTATCTATCTATATTGAGGTACATTTCTTCACCATGCTTTCATTCAATCCTCCGAAAATGCATAAAGGAAATAGTTCATTTTTTATAACGAGTTGTTATGGATATATGGTCTGTTACGACCTGTGATGTGTGAAGAATAGGAATGTGTCACGGTTTGTGAAAGATAAGGGAACATAATGAACAATTTCTGTACAACACGTAGATATAAAAGTGAAATTTGTAAACGAACATTTTTAGTGGAAAATGCATGGTGGAATTCTGACTGAAAGATATGTTCTTGTTTTTCTGTTAAAATACTTTTGAGATAAGAGAATGCAGGATTCCTTAAAAAAATCAAGTTCTTTTTTAAGAAAGCCTGTATCTCAATTCAGAAGCATTAATGCATCTTAATGCTAATTAAGTAGACGTGTTAGACAGAGAAAACATTCTGTAATAGTTTCATCTAGTTTGGAGCTGTACTAGCGTATATGCAACGACTACAGTCAGCACATCTTTTTAGAAAATCTTTAGTTGAGAAAGTACACATACTTTTCCAACAAGAAGAGAATCGTTAGAACAAAGTTTTTCATGTAGAACTATAGAGCAAGAACTCTACAATTTATTTCGTAAGTCTTTCTACTTTCTTTGAAATAAGAAACTTTTCTCTAAAATACCAGAAATTTGAGCATTTTCTGAACTCAAGGCTTTCCAAAACACTTAACGAGCTAAAATAAATTTTTTCAACTAAAAAAGTTGGTCATTAATCAAAATATATTAGAGATTATTCAAATCGCAAAAGATATCACTTTCATTTTTCACCAAATGTCCATGTTGTTATCTGCTGTTCAGAGAGACTCAGTCCACATTATTACTCGTATACTGCAACACTCCTTTTAAATCGTGTTTCACAATATATATTCTAATAACATTTTTCTATTTCTTTTTCTTTGCATATTCACTTACCAACAACAATAATATCAACATGAAATCGAGCATCAGCATACGGTGTATCTGGTGGTCCTTGAATAGATCCAGTTAAAAAAATTTCTTTTTTATTTGATTGTGATCCTAAATTAGTTGCATTTCTTGTTAATTCACCTTCTGGCATTTTTAAGTCAATTCCATTCTAAAATAAAATAAATTATTTTAAAACAAAAAAAAAATAGAAAAATAAATATTATTTTATTAGAACTTCTTACAGATTCATTTGTTACGACTTCTTTGAATTCTTTCATAATTCGATTCATTGCAATATTCATGATTCTTGTTTTGTGTGATATTAAATTATAAAATAATATATCTGCAAAGTGTTTACTATCATGTTTTTTTTTTTGTAAATAGAAATATTAAAGGAAAAATTTATTTATGGTTGCCATGAACAACGAAAAAAAAAATTCGTATTTGCCTAAGACTTTCTTTATTTAGATTTTTTGGTTTTTTTCTCTTGTTCTACGCACAAAAAAAACTGAACACACGTATAAACTCGAGGGCATACGGCACAAAAAAGAGCAAAACAGCGAACAATACAAACGCTGAAATAACGTGCACCAAAAACCAAACAACAGAGAAAAAAAAAAGCAAAAAAAAAGGATTCTATTTTTTTTGCTAAAAAAATAACTGAACAAAGACAGATACGCAAGGTTGAATCTTACCAATAATATAATACGATGAACAGGGTTGCACAAAATACTGCTGCATAGACGCAAGCGACTGGTGTTTATCCCCTTTAAAATTGAAGAAAAAATCCACACACATGTATTATGACTCTAACGCGGACGGGGTGCTTAAATATCACACACACACACACACGCACACAAACAAACAAAAGAAAAAAGAAAAGAAAAAGCTCTTGCTCAATCAAAAACAAGCAAGTAGAAATGAAGGATTCGTCTTGATTTTTTAAATTTTAGTCATCATTTGTTTCGAAAAGTGACACGATTGTCCACCAATTAGCACCAAAAGAAGCATCATGACATGTCGAATTTTCTATGATTTGAATTAATGTAATATATATGCGCTTCTTCCTGAGGTTGCCAAAAACTGAATATCCTGAGCTATAAACATGAAGATAAAGCAACCAAGAAAATACAAAACAACAGAAAAGAAAACAACCGGATCGTTGTAATACGAATAATAATGAAAATTTATGCGGTGAACATAAAAGAACAACGAGATAGACTATACGAGATTTGACATCAACAAAAAAAAACGCAACAAAAAAAAAACCAGATTCGTTATTGATCTTGTTTCTTTTATTGCTACAGAAACACGCAACTGGAAAAGAGCAAGAACTACAATGCTGAGTGTATTGTTTAATAGAGAAAACAAAAGAAAAATCAAACAAACTAGTGAAAGACTGGCGCTAGACAGAAGAAGAAAAAGAAAACAAAAACAAAAAAAGAGAAACAAATCTATATCTAGTGTGAAATAATAGAACATCACCGTGTGCTACCTACATTGCATACACACAAAAACAAAATCAAAAACAATGCATAGCTTTTAGAACAATATATTCTATGTTCATCAATTTCGTACATTTGTTAATTGCAATAGAATTACACCTTTATTTGGCTCTGAGTATCTAAATAAAAATTTTATATAAAAAAAGAAGTCGAATAATGATTTTTTAAGGATAATGATCAAATACAGTCTGATTCATTCTGAGTCATTCAAGAAAAATATCAAGAAGATACGAAGTAAAACGTTTTTTACAGTGTTCTTCTCTCAGTCGAAAACTATCCAAGTGTTTGAAAAATGAAGTCAAATGTAGATCCACTACATATTTTGAACCGATTAGAACCGTGAAGTATTTACCATAACATCATCTTTCCGAACATTTATTTATTTGAGCTTTTGACATAGAGTGGGACCAAGTAGACTCAAATTTTCAAGCTCTATAAACTGATATAATTCTCGAATAAAACGGCACTCACGAGGGAACGTTCCCAAGTGATTAAAAGCTTTTGAGCTCATATGTTGCCCATTGGGTAGGGAACCACTAGATTAGAGAAACCTCCAAAGGATTCGTGCCCATATTGAGATTTGACAGAGATATCAAATTTTTAGTGGATTTTTCCTGCTGGATCCTAGTTCTACAGCAAAATCATATTTTCGAATTTTGACCTGAAACTTTGCCCAAATGAAGGTCTCGATCAGAGTAGCTTGTATAAAAAATTTCAGAATTTTTGGACATTGTATCTTCAAGGTATCAATCTTTCAAAGTATCCATGTTATCTATAGAAAAGTGCCTATATTTTCAAAAATTGATACCTTGGAGATGCAATGTCCAAAAATTCTGAAATTTTTTATACAAGCTACTCTGATCGAGGCCTTCATTTGGGCAAAGTTTCAGGTCGAAATTCGAAAATATGATTTTGCTGTAGAACTAGGGTCCAACAGGAAAAATCCACTAAAAATTCGATATCCCTGTCAAATCTCAATATGGGCACAAGTCCTTTGGAGGTTTCTCTAATCTAGTGGTTCTCTATCTAATGGACAACATATGAGCTCAAAAGCTTTTTATCACTTGGGAACGTTCCCTCGTCAGAGCATTTTTAACTAACACCCATTTATTAATATATAATTTTTTTTTATTTACTTATAATTTCGTTGTTGTAAATATGACAGAATAGCTGAACGTATTTTTCCATGCCCACCACCACCATAAATAGAATTTTTTCCGTAACCTGTTATAATTTCAATAGATTTTGGAGTTGTTCTTCGATTTCCTTCGTTAAATTCTTGTTCAATTTGTTTAAATAAATTTAATGCTTCATTTAAATGCAAACCATGAAGATCAAGTCGGTGTGTTTGATGATATTGTTCAAGTCTCCAACGCGATAAATGTTCGCATGCAGCTCGATTAGCATCTTTCATTAAATGAGTTTCTTCACTAGCACGATGAATATAAAATGATGCAACACCAGACATTCCATGACGATTTGCTTGATGTGCTTTTGTATAACATTCTTTACGTTGTTGTGCATGATAAAAAGCATCCCGCCGTAATGTTTCATAAGATTCAAGAACAGATTCAACAGTTGTTGTTTTTATTGTTGATATAGAATTTGAAGACGATACTGATGGATATTTATGCATAGTTGTTATTGAAGCATTATCATCAAACATAGTTGATATACAAACAAATGTAATCTCATAATTATATTCATTTTCACGGAGTATATCATAGAGAAGATCAGAATCTAATGTTGGAAAATGACATTCAAGTTTTTTTAATGTATGTTCAGTAGTGTAATCAAGTTGTCGGTTCTAAAATATGTAGAAAAAAAAGCATTAATGTTAATCAATGGAATTAGATAAAAGTTACTATCATTTTTATCGAAATAAAGAAAGAATTCAATAGAGTTTCTTATTCATGATACATAAGAAGTAAGTATTCTGCACAATATTTAGCACAACAACGAAAGAATACCCAGAGAAGATAATTCATATCAAAATGATATCTTAATGAAAATCATTTTCAAAGTGTTAAATTTAAATATATAAATATTTTTCAATTTAAGACAAAGAAGCAGTAAACTTCATTTTTTTTATCTAGTCAAGAAATCTATAGATACATATCTACATTGAAGATAATTTTTCACAAGAAGAGAAATTTTGTGAGAATGTTGAAGTGTATAGAAAATAAATTCATTTCTCTTCAATCAAACTCACATAAATAGAAAAGCCATGTCTGATTATTAATGAAATATATGCACAAAAGTAATAACAGTTACCTTTATGAATTATAATAACATTCGACATAGTATACGGACCTTTTTTTCTTTTTCTTAAGTTGAATTTAATTATGTTTTTTTTGTTAGAATTAATTGATAAAAAAGAAAAGAACAAGAAACGAAGAATATGAATTTGAATACCTGTTTTGATTTTTGAGATTTAACTGCTTGTTGTTCTTCATTCATAATTTGTCTAAATGATGGTATATGATTAGTATTTATATCAGAATTGAATTGATTTTCTGATGGTAATTTCCATTGTTGAATATGATTTTTCTTTGTTTTTGTATTTTCTTTTTTTATTCGATTTTCAATCACCGGTTTTATTGTTTGATTTGATTTGATTAAAAATCTTTGTAAAGCTTGATAAATACTTATTGATAAATCATCATCTAATGGTAATAATATACTATTGTTATTTGATAATACTGTAGATTTAGTTGGTAATTCTCCATATAATTCTTCTAATGAATTAATAACTGTTGAAGGAATACTTATTTGATTTGTATCAATAAATTCAATATTTGTATTATTTAATGTTAATTCTTCAAATATTTCATCATCATTTATATCTTGAAGTAAATCATCAATTGAGTTTGTATCAACTAATGGATTTGTAGATTTAATTTGTTCATTCCATTGATTTAATACATTTAAACATAATTGTCGAAGTGTTGAAATATGTGTTTGTTTTACATTATGATGTTGAAGATATTCATCAATTTGTGTTCGTGTCCATTGAATATCTGAATGACAAACTTCATAAAATTGTTGTATTGTTTCAGATGATAAACGATTTGCATAGATATCAATTAATAAATCAATATTATTATCAATTAAATCGACTTGTATACCACATTCATTATAACCAGGAAGTGGTGATAATGATGATGTTATTATAAATTGAGTAGAATGAGATGATAAATGACCAATTAATATCCGATCGGAATGATTTATTTGTGAATTAAAATCATTCGATGAACATTGTATAGCAATGTGTTTTGTTGATATACATGAACTATGTGAAGGTATATTTAATTCATTATGAATAATATTTAATAATTCACAATTTGTAGTATTAATTATTTGTTTTTGTTTATGAGATAGTGTTGATGAATGATCTCTAGAAGACAAAAAGCAAATCAATGATTGGCTTTTGTTGAAAATTTTGAAAAAGTTTTTTTTCGTTTTTCGATCACGCATTTGAAAAGTTCGTCTTTGAATACAGTGTTTTATTCAGATTTTGGCTTCTGGAGAGCAAACATATTTTTCTGAGTATAAACACATGGCACAATAAACTACGGGAAGGTCAACCCGATATTTGGATGAGTGCCATCCTCTCAGCTTCTATATTAGATAAAATACTGTTCGAAGGAAAGAAAAGAATGAGAGAAGAAAAAGAATCGCAACCGATCTTTTTTGACATGGAAAGAAAAAAAGGTTAAGCATTTTATTTACTTTAGAGAATTAATTTGTAGACCAAAATTTCTATTAACATTATCAATCCAATCATTATCATGCTTTTCATCTATAACAACAAAGTCAGAACATTCTTCAGGAAGAATAACATCAAAAGTTGGTTGTTGTTGATGTTGTAGATTTTTTTCTTCATTTTCCATATTATTATTATTATTATTTACATTTAATAAAATTTCATTAGATTGTTGTTTATTTTTATTTTTTCGTCGTTTTTTTCCTATAATACTTGATTGTATTGATAATGGTTGCGTTAAATTTGTTGCATCAATACAACGTGAAAAAGTTGATGTTGGTAAGCGTAAGATATGTTCAGTATTATACGAATGATCTTGATTTGTTGTTGAAGAAAAACGTGTTAATGGACGATGAAAACGTGCATGTGGTGTTGAAGGTGTTGATGGTGCTGATGTTGTTGTTGATGATGATGATAGTAATGAAAAATCATGAAATGAAACTGATAATGGTGTTGAAGGTTGTGATGTTGTTGCAGCTGTTGTTGTTGTTGTTGTTAATATTGATGTTGATGATAATAATGTTGTTTGATAAAAATTTGATGTTAAAAATAATATCATATCATTTATACAAAGACGTACATCATCAACAATTAATGAATCATCAATAATATCATACAACTTTTTTGATGTACATAATGAATCAACTATTTCGTTATTTTTATCAACATTTTGTTGTTCAGTTGTTGTTGAATTATTTGTTACTGCCATTGATGGAATTTGATTAATTATACTTTGAACTGTAACATTATGTTCAAAACGATTTAACATTTCTTTTATACGTCGTAGAGGTAAATTATGAACGTTTCGTCTAAATAAAAGAAAAACAGAGAAATCGCTTTTATATTAAAAGTTCAACTATTTAAATCTATAATGGCTGATATGAATTTAGAGCAGTTGTATTTTTAAGTTTTCTTCTCAATGTTAATAGCAAGAAAGAATTTGAAAAAAGAAAATTCTAGTAGCTTAAAGGATTCTCTATATAGATTGAAGGATCCGAAAGTCCCAATAGAAAACTGCTTGGGTGAGCATGTTTAGAAAAACCAAGATGTCAGAAATCAGTTTTCTGGCATGTATTTAACGCTTTTATGAAATGATTTTAGTTGATAGAACGAAATCAGATATCTTGATTCTCGTCAATCGACCTACGTTCAATTTATAGAAGGCCTTAAAGCATCAAACACAGCGAAACCATTGAGTGTTCTGTAAAAATAAAAGAAAAATGGTTTCTTGGAATCATTTGTGAATTGAATGCAATTCGATGAAGAAAGTTTATAGATAAAATCACAGGCATCTTATTTTGTTCTATAAGATAAAACCATTTCCAAAAAAATCTTCAAATGAATGTCAGAAAACGGATTTTTGAGGTCTTGTTTTTCCAGATATCCTCATCCAAAACAGTTTTATTTGAGTTTTTAGTTTCATCAAACCTTCTAGAGAATCTGTTGAGCTATTTAAATGTTTTTCTAGATTCGTCATAGCTGTTACCATTAAGATGAAGACTCAAAAATGCAACTGCTCTAAACTTTTATTCGTCACCATATTTAGTAACAGAAGAAAAAATTTACTTGAATAATTCTCGAGCTTTATAACGCCATGGAGTTTGAGGTTCAACTAAAAGAATATCATAACCAGCTTCTTTGCCCTACATAAAAATTAAATTGATTAATATTTAAAATAAAAGCACAGATCAAACATTTACCATTGTAACATATGGTTTCATTTCCCATGCTTGTGTATTTGTATTATCGATTATAATTGGAGATATATTCCGTTTTAATGCAACTGATGCTAGATGAAAAAACAAAAGTTTATTTTAAAATATAAAATATTTATATTTCTAAAACCTTGTCGAGAAGTATATCGATGTGCCTCATCTAGTTTATTTGAATCAAATATATATTTGTTTAAATTATTATCTGCGAAATAATCATCTGCTGAAAGTATCAGACCATTATAACCATGTTTCAGTGACCTTTAACAAAAGATAGTTTAGTTTTTGATTGTTTTTATTCAATTTAAAATTAATACTCACTTAGCTAACGTTGATTTTCCTGAACCTAAATTAAAAGAAAAACAAAAGACTTATTATTCTTTATACTAATCCAAAAATCAAATTTTTTTGTAAAGCGCAATAGAAAATTGTCCAATAATTTCATTTTTAGCTCATTTAATCATAAAGTGGCAAATCTCAAATTCGTACTAGGTTTAACTCGTGCATATCAAAATGTTTACAAACTTTGAAACTTTGTACGAGTTTACGTAAGCATATATAGAAAACAAGAATTTTTTAGATATTACTCAATTTGAAAAATGGTTGAGAAATTACAAATTAAAGATTAACTGCTGATTTCATACAGATTGAGCAAAAAACCATAGATTTACTCATAGTATACCTTTGGATCACTAAGAAATCATTTATAGAGAGCATCCAGGTGAAGACGGACAGATCTGTCAAAAATAAGAAAATCCGACCGATGAAGAGAGGGAAGTCAAACATTTGTGAACATCAAATCACGTACTATGAACGTTTTCCTTTCTTTCTTCACGCAACTTTCAGCAAAATTTTGAAGGATAGTTTGTTTTGAAGAGCAGTTAAATAGGAAATGGACTGAATATGAATCAGTTGAGTATGAATATGATCTTGAAATAATTCAAGATTATACTACATCGACAGATAGTTATTTTCTGAAGCCGTAACATAAGATTTTCGAATGCGATTCATGTTGAACTTCGTTTTTCCTATTATTATATTCTGTTTATTAAAATCCAACGGATTTAAAAAAGAAAAATTTCGCCATAGGCCATAGTTTTATCTACTGTTTATGAAATGTGTTTCTTCATTTCTACTTTTTATATATGTATCTAATGAACTGTTTTTTAATATAAAAAAAGGAGTAGTATATTTGAACAAGGAGGTTTTCTCTGAAAGGTTTTTTTTTATACTGGACTCAAGATCCTGCTTGATAGGACCTGATGCGGTCCGAAAACTTTGAACCCGAAGGGTTCTAGTCATCAGAGAAATATGTAGGGTGTACTAGTCATGGAAGACAAAAAAACGGAAAAAAAGTATTTCGTATCTTCAGAGCGGCTATCAAATGGTGATTAGAAGATTTCTTTGAGTATCAAAGTACGGTTCAACCAGGCCCAAAAATTTTTGGATCCGACGAACTTCACTGGACGTTCCCGAAAGAAAGCTAAAAAATGCAGTTTTTACTCGGAAGTCTTTTATGGATGACTACTAACAGAGAAGCATAAATTAGGAATCTTTTGATATAATGCATTTCTAGGTTTTAAAAATATATGGTAAGAGTAAATCTCTGATTTGTGCTTTTCTTATCGTACTCATAAATTTCTGCTTCAAAGAAAAAAAAACTAGAAAGGAAATTAGTAATAATTTGAGATTTGTCACGATCTCTACTTAATCAAATATATCTTCACGTCGCAAAATTCCTACATAATCAATGCTAATAACCAATTTTTCTGTATTGAATGAAATTCAGACGAGTAAAAGAAAATCAGACAAACAATGCATGGAATAGTGCAACATTTAGCACTTTGAAGAGTAGATACTGTTTTATTTTTGAACCACACAATATCTTGTACTGAAATCTAAAGAATAACTAAAAAGCTTGGATCATAAAATTTACTAAGAATCTGTGAATAACGAGAAAATGTTCAAGTTTTTAGAAGTTGAAAATAATCAGACATAAACAGATGTTTTATATGAAAGGCAAATGTTGCTTACTACTCGGATGTTTAGAACAAGGTGATCAATCAAACAGAAAAAAAGGGATAAAAAAATAGAATCTGATTGTTATATTCGAAAAATTCTAAATAAATTATGTATTTACCAGGACATCCTCTCATAATAATTAATAATCGTTCATTATTATCAAGTCTTCTATGTATATCATCAACAATAGTTTGATTATAATCATTTGTTACACGATTATCCATAATAATAACAAGATCATTATTATCTTTTTCATCAAAATCATCTTCAGATGTAAATGTTGTTGTTGTTGTATTTTCACCAGTTGATGTTAATGATAATGGTGGTGATATAGATTTATGTATTTGTTCATCTAATATTAATTTTTCTGATAAATTTTCATTTATAATACGATCAAATTTTTTTGTTTTTTTAGATTTTACTTCAATCCACTCATCATTTATTTGTTGTTGTTGTTGTTGTGGTTGTTTCAGAAGCGAATTAGTTTCAGATGAAAGAGAATTTTGATTATTCTTGCGATTATTATTAAATGATTGACGACGATTAGAATTTGTATTTGAAGATGATGATGATGATGAAGTATTATTTTGTGTTCGTTGTTGTTGTTGTTGTTTAGTTGTTCTATCTCTTGGTGGTAATTGATTATGAATATGATTTGTTGATTGTTGTTGAGGTTGATGACGTTGTTGTTGTTGAGTATTAGTATTAGTTTTATTTGATTTATTATTTTCAGATGTTTGAGAAATTATTGTTGAATATGTCATAGGTGTGACTTTAATTGGAGATGATGATAATGGTTTATTATTATCATCTTGACTAGATGATGATGTATTTGCTGATTCAATCTTTGAATTCGATTGAGATGAGACGACGTTTGAATTATCTGTTTGTATTTGTGAATTATCATTTGTATTATCATTATCATTATTAGCTGAAGGTATTTCAGATGAAGTATCTATTTGTTCTGAATTATCTTCTATATGATCGTTAGTATTTGATACTGTTTGAGTATTATTTATTGTAGTGCTATTTAATGGAGGAAAATGGTTTTCATCATTAATTAAAATATTATTATCTGATGATGATGATGATGATGACGATGATGATTCATTATCATTTTGTAAGGGAACCCATTCAGCAGCTTCAGGATTTAAAAACGAATTTGTTAATTGATTCATTGTTATATCATTAAACATATATGTTGATGATGGTCCATTCATTGAATATGATGGAAAATATGGATGACCATGATGTGTTATGGGTGTTGGTGGTGGCCAAAGAAGTGGTGTTGGCGGTAGATTCATCATTTGTTGTTGATAAGCAAGATATTCAAATTCATCTACTGGACGAATATTATATGCGATATGACCTGATTGATGGACGGCAGGCGGATAAGTATAAAGAACACCGGGTGGTGTCGCCATTAATGGTGGCGGTAAATGTGAAGAATGATAATTACTACTAGCACGTGGTAATATACTACGATGATGACGACGACCATTTGTTATTGTTGATGATGATGGTGTTGATTGTGATGTTGTTGTTGACACTTGTAAATTCGATTCATTCTCAGTTGTTGATGTTTGTCTTAAACGTGGTGGTAAATTTTGAGGAGATATTGTTGTTGAATTACCACTTTGATTATCTCGTGATGATGATGGTGATGATGATGATGATATTTGTGATGATGATGATGATTGTAATGTTGGGATAAACATTAATGGTGTTGGTTTTTCTATTAATGATGGTGGTATTGGATAATAATAATAAGGCGTAGGTCCATATGGATGACCATGTGTATAATATGGTGTACGATGATATGGAATAGATGAATATTTAAATTTTGAATTAAATGATTTTCTTGGTCCATTTTCATTTTCATCGTGATGAACTGTTGTTTCTGTTGCCTCTTTTAGTTGTTGTTTTTGTTCTTCATCGGTAGTGACTATTGACGGACTAGTATTTGCTAAAGCATCATTATTGTTAATTCCATTTGTTATATTAGTCTCGTCTTTTTCATACATTAAATCATTACTGAAATAAAGAGCAAGAAATATTACTTTAAATTAATAGACAATATTTGAATTGATATCTAGGTTAATCTCAATCAAAAAAACTATTTCTTAGGAAATGAAATAGACTTGAATTGAACACTGAGATTTTTCAACTGAAATACTTATTGCTTACCTTTGCCCCTTTTCATTGAGTTCTTCTTGTTTTTGATCACTATCTGATGACCTATAATATTTTTAAAAAAATTAAAAACCGAAGAACTTAATTTGAAGTTTCTTACTTTTGTGTAACTGTTGTTATTAATAATAAATCATTATTATTTAATGATGAATGTTCATTTTCAATAGCACATTGCTTTGAATCAATGTTAATTTCATTCTTCCGATCGTTTTCACTTAAACTCGTCATTGACAAAACACGAACAAAATAAATTTGTTGTTGAAGAAAAAAAACGTCAAAAGACAAAACAAATTTAATACGAAAAAAAACGACGTCAAAGATGGAAGAAAAGTAGAAAATTTTCTTTTTCTGGCTTGTTCTTCGTTTCAAACGAAAATAGATGATAGTCGACAACAATAATAATAATAAGTTAAATATGTATCAAAATGAAGCAATAATTCATATGGATAAGATTTATACATCAGATAATAAAAACGAATTCAACAAATAGATGATGAAAATACTAGATGATGATGATAATAATAATTAAACATATCGTATTCTAGAATAGATGAATAAAAAATGCAGATTAGTCTTTTGGTTTTTTTTCTTTAGGATCAAAAAGAATTGAATAATAAATAAAAATAATGATGTTCTTAATTTTTTTCTTGTCTATTATCAATTTTTTTGTTTATATATAGATGAAAACATCGATAATTTAATATGTTTTAACAATGACAAAAACAAATGTTTATCACTAGATAGTTATGTACAGTTTACAAATATACAGGATTTAATAGAAAAGAAACATCTTTTGTTTAGAGCACCGGTTCAATATAATTGAACATAAAGGGAGAGAAAAATACTGCAACTTATTGATTTAGAGAAGAAGACATCCAATTTTCGTTTTTGAAGATAATGCAAAACTAGACGGAGGAAATGAAAATCAGTGTGCATGAAAAGCTTTCTGGTTTTCATTCTATTCAAGGGAGTAATTGACGAATAAGTTCATTTGAATCTAAGGTCGATGGCGAATCATCATCAGCACTACGTGGTTTGTCATTTTCTAAAAAAAAAACTATCCAGTTATATATCAATAGAATAATATATTGAAAAAAAACCTATTTTTCTTACTGGTACTAGTAGACGTATGGATTCGAGCAGATTTTAATCTATAATTTTCTCAAAATAAATTACACGAAATAAACAATAATAATAATTTTTTACTTGGTTTTATTTCTTGCAACAATTATTTCAATTTCATCATTCCATGGATTTATAAACGGTTCAAATATTGTTTGTAGAATAATATATGAATTATCTTTCGTACGAAAACGATAATTACCACTTGTGCCTATCTGACGATCACGACAGACTAAAGTCGTAAAACAACCGCAGAAAGTCATTAAATGAAAAATAAACAGGTTTATTTTTATATGCGTCTTTTTTTTTACCTCGATTCCATAGTTCATTTATTTTATTTCGATCATCTTCATGTATAAATTCTTTAAAATTCATTCCAAGAAGATCTTGTGATAAATAGCCCATTAGAGAATGACATCTAAATAGAAATTTATGTATAATAAAAAATCCAGATGAAATTAATCAATGTATAGACAAAAAAATCTGACAAAGGTTGATAACAATGATGAATAACGATCATTTACTAACAATTAATGTTATTCGATACAAATAGGTAACGTAATGAATATAACATGATCCAAGATCGAATGTTATTAGGTGTCGTATCTATATTTCTTTATAACTCAAAACAATTCAGCTCGTCTCTTGATAGTATATCTAAATTCAAAGCGTTACGTCGTATAGAAAGACGACGAACTTCGCCCCTATCTTCCCTCCTTTATTTGCTATTGATTCGAATACTGGTAATTTTTTTCTTTTAGAAAAATACTGAACTTCTAAGATTTTTACTTTTAGTAAACCAACTAAAAAGCATAGTAAAATAATTTATAAATTTTATTTTTCTAACCTTTTATTCTTTACGATTGTTCTATAACGATTTTGAAAAAAACAGCAATTTATTCAGGCCACCTATATTAAATACAATCATTTTTCTTTTCTGTTCTTCAATACTGATAAGAGACAGTAAAAAAAAAAAATTTTTTTTTTGTTTTGTTTTATTATTTATTATTGTTTAATCGCAAAAATATTTGTAGACGAAACATTATAAAATAGACTCAATTAATTATAATATAAAAAGACATTTTTCAATAGTCTATCTTTCAATCAAAGGATTAATATAACAATGTTGAATTAGAATTGATGATTTATGTCCATTATTGAGGTTGAACACGACATAGCAAGAACATTATAGTAAAGAAAAAAAATTCGACTTCTGTCTATAATAGATATATCAACATACTTTTGAATCATGACAGGCAGACATAATGATTAAAGTTTGTGTGGAAAAAAATGTACCGAAATTTCTTCATATATTTTTTTAACTGTGGTACGAAACCGCCGTAAACATATAACGTACTTTTGGCCAAAGTACATGTCCTTGGAATACGGTTGACGTAACATAATGTGACTCATTATAAGGCGGGTACAAATTCAGTTCGCGTATTTTTCAACATATGAAAAAAAAATGTAACGGGTCATCGCTAATGAATGGCCATTTTTGTATGTTTTCTTTTTACTATTTAGTTACATATATAAAACCTTTCTATTTATACATATATATATATATATATGTTATTTATTTTTTAAAATGAAAAATAATTTTTGTGCCAACATGATTATTTTTTATTAAACGATCGAGTCGCTGTTTTATCTCGTCGATTGAAGATAATGATATTCATTGGCGTAAAAAAACACTCGTCATTAGAACATGTTTATACCGCAAGTCGGCAGGAAGTAGAAAGAAAAGAGAACATTAACCAAAAGGCTAAGTATCCAAAAAAGAATTTATAACGTTGTTTTGATATATCTAAAAATGATCTTACGTGTCCAATTATTTTTAAATCTAGTAAAACATTATTACATGAGAACTATATTGAAATCGTTCTGTTACATATGTAATCTGAAGGAAGACATTTCTTCAGTACTTTTTTCATCTATGAAAAAGACAACGTCATGTTATATACACGCTAGGAATCAGTAACATGGTGCGAAGAGAATTCGATGCATTTTTTAATAAACAATAACAGATGGCTACCAAGAGGTCATGATCTCAATATTTAGGATTATTACATGTGAAATGTTGTCATTAACAATATGCAATGGGATAAAAATATAATACTATGATTCTTTAATTGACAAAATAAGAAAAGAAATTCGTTATGTACTGAAGCAAAAAAAAAATAATTCTTGTTCGCAACGTCGAAAATAAATCGTGCAAAATTCTGTTAATCGTGAAAACAAAAGATTTCTATTGAAATTTATCAAGCACTTTATGATGCATCTTGTAGAATCATTATGTTATTTGAATAACATGTGTTAAGTAAGAAAAAAAAATACAAATATAGACACATTCATTATCGGTCACCCGTTAATATTCATCGTTCTTTCAAATTCTTGTTTTTCAAGTGTAATAATTTACATTTCAATAGTTACTATTTATTCACCCATGTTCTTGTTATATAAAAGAAAAAAAAAGCGTTCGCCTACTAACTACTCTTATGTCGTTTGAGAATAAATAATAGAAAAAAAAAAGAACCTAGAACAACTTACATTTGATCGAAATATGTAAATTGTCCGTCAGGATTTAATTTGCATAAAAACATTCTATCGATGATATTTATATTTTCATGAATTTGATTCGATTTTTCAATCCGTTTGCATAAATTACCCATTGTTATAAGACATGAAACAGGATTACTTCCAATAGCATTCACAACATCGGATGGTGTTAATGCACTAAAAGCTGAATGTCGACGATCAGTTCGGGGTTTTATTTCGCTTTGACTATCATTAGCTAAAGAATACTGTTTTATATAACCAACAAAATCGATTGTACTATAACTATCTAGCAAAAGAAGAATTTAATCGAAACAAAAGAAAAAAATGAAATATACTAACCTGTTGGATTAGTCGTTGTTGCTTTACCTGATCGTCTTGTTTTCGATTTAATACGACAAGAGAATGTACGTCGATTACCTACTTCTAAACAATTTTGTTTCGTTGTTATTAGAGAAACATCTTTAATAAAAATCATTGTATTTGAATAATAATAAAAAAAGAAGAGAAATTTATTCTTTTTTTACTTTTTGAATCACTTGATGGTCCTTCATTTGTATTTGATGATGTTCTTTTTTCACATATTAATTGTTGTTTAACTATTTCAATATCATCTGGACAGATAATATCAAATATTGATTGTAAATATAATTCATTCTTTAGAAAAAAAAGTAAGTGAAAAAAAAAAATTCTTTTTAGCTACGAACTGGTTTATATCCAAGTGTTGTTTCAGCTGAACTTGATGCATAACAAATTCGACCTTTTTGGCATTCAATTATAAGAAAAAAATATGTGCCTAATTGATCGATCGTTGCTAATATTAATTCAAGTAATTCATTATCATCTAAATATATTTGTTTACCAAAACCACTTGATGATACTTTTGAAGTACTACCTAAGAAAAAAAAACAAGAATCTTTAATTTTAGTTTAAGAAATATATTTCTTTTCTACCTTTTAGATATTTTATTGTATCAACAGCAACACGTAAAACAGTTAATTTATCGAGTTTTTTTACTGCATCTATTGGAAGTAATTGAGCTATTTCATCTATATAACGATTCATTTTTTCTCGACGTCGACGTTCAATTTCACTATGACTTATTCTAATAATATAATAAGAATTATATTATAGATTTAAGATGTTGAAAAAATCATTTTACTTTCGCATTTTATCACTTTTTGTATTTGTTGATGACTTTGATGTTTCTTCATCATCAGATTCGTCTTCTAGATTCATTTCACTTTTTGATTGAACGTCCAGTCTAGAAAAAATAAATAAATAAAACAAAAAAAAAAAAACAAGAACACCTATTATATGATCTATACATGAAGTATACAACATCGCATTATAAAAGTAAAATCTTACGCACTAAGAAGTTGCTCAGGAGCCATACTTGATGCTTTCAGTTAAATGAATATATATAGATGTATATATATATCAAAGTTTAACAGATTCTATGACACTCCTTTATAAATAGGTGTGTCTCATCGATGCTATTCGATAAAATGATGTTGCTGGCTGGCAACTGATGTAAACTCTACAAATAC